GACGTCATCAGTCAAGGTCAAGGTTGAAAACCTTACTGAGTTTTTTCCATATGCCTATACATATGTGTGCTAAATTTCAAGGCATTTGATTGAGCCATTTTCAAGTTATCTTGTTAACAAAAAAGTGGTTAGAAATAAAATAAAGAAATAATAATAAAGGCAATTTTAACGAAAACATAAGGTGGTCTGTATTATATACAGCCCACCTGATTAATTAACGTACATCATTCGCTCACGGGCCCCCAAATGTTAGACACAATTAATAATTTAAGGAATTATACATTTACATGTACGTGATAATGATCCCTTAATTCTACATTTAAAAGACACATAATTCATGTAGTGTGAAACATCAATATGATGCTGCTTGGATGTGATAGTGCCGTATAGCGATGAGTAAGGGTATACTGAATGCATCACATCTCGATGTATTCATAAATATATATATACATAATATATAATATTATATATATATATATATATATATATATATATATATATATATATACATATATATATATATGTATAATAAAGCTGGGATGTTGATAAAAGCGCTTATAGCTAAATCTAGTCTAGGTTAAATATGAAAGATCGTCGATATGATCGAGGAAGGGGAGGGCGGATTATTAGCGGGGGGGGGGGGTGATTTATACCGGCTTTCATCGAAAGGGTGCGGTGCGGTGCGGCGCGGTGTGGTGTGCTCAACGCACCCATTCGATAAAAGGCCCCCCGCTTTTCTCGAAAGGGTGCGTTGAGAACGGAGTACCGTTTTAACACACCCTTTCGATAAAAGCGAGGGGGCTTTTCTCGAAAGGGTGCGTCGACTAGTCTTTCGCATCAGTCGTTTAAAATGAGGATCTGGGACATAAGGTAATAGTTGCCAATTTAAGTATATCGAAAATGTATTGAATAAAATGGTATGGTCTTGATTACAGAGCATGGTCTCTTTCGTTATTACTATGTTGATGGGGGAGACAGAGAGAAGGAAAAAGGGGAAAGGGAAAGGGAAGATAAAATTAAGGAAAGAAAGAAGAATAAGAAGAAAAGAGGGAAACGGGGGGGGGGGACGAAGGGCTCTTGCCTCCTCCTCCCCCCCCCCCCCGCCAAAAAATAAATAAGAGAGAGAGAGAAGGGAAAGAGAAAGGGAAAGAAAATATAAAAGGAAAGAAAGAAGAGGAAGAAGGAAAGAGGGGAACGGGGGAAGGGCGAAAGGCTTTTACCCCCCCCCCCCCCCTCCAAAAAAATAAATAAGAGAGAGAGAAGGGAAGGGAAAGAAAGGAGAGGAATAAGAAGGAAAGAGGGAAACGTGGGAAGGGCGAAGGGCTCTTGCCTTCCCCCCCCCCCCCACCCCCGCCAAAAAATAAATAAGAGAGAGAGAGAGAGAGAAGGGTAAGGGAAAGAAAATATAAAAGGAAAGAAAGAAGAGGAATAAGAAGGAGAGAGGGAAACGTGGGAAGGGCGAAGGGCTCTTACCCCCCCCCCCCCCCCGCCCAAAAAAATAAATAAGAGAGAGAGAGAGAAGGGAAAGGGAAAGAAAATATAAAAGGAAAGAAAGAAGAAGAATAAGAAGGAAAGAGGGAAACGTGGGAAGGGCGAAGGGCTCTTGCCTCTCCCTCCCTCCCCCCCCCGCCAAAAAATAAATAGAGATAGAGAGAGAAGGGAAAGGGAAAGAGAAGATAAAAGAAAAGAAAGAAGAGGAAAAAGAATAAGAAGAAAAGAGGGAAACGGGGGCGAAGGGCTGTGCCTCCTCCCCCCCCCCCCTTGCCCAAAATAAATAAGAGAGAGAGAGAGAAGGAAAGGGAAAGAGAAGATAAAAGGAAAAGAAAGAAGAGGAAGAAGAAGAAAAACAGGGGAAACGGGGGCAAAGGGCTCTTGCCTCTTTTCTTTTCTTTTTTTCCTTTCTTTCCTATTCTCCCTCCTTTTCGTTTCTCTTTCTTTCTTTTCTTTTTCTTTTTTTTTTCTTTCCCTTTCCCTCTCTTTTTTCCCTCCCCCTTTTCTCTTTTCTCCCGACGGCAGCGCAATTTTACCGACAATATCCTGACAGGTGGGGGGGGGGGGTGTCGCACCCCACACCCCCCTTTGGAGACGCCCCTACCTACGCCACGACCACAAGGCTATCAATACAAATTAAGACATATTAATGAAGATTCTTTTTTAATGTTGCAGAGAGATAAGTAATTTCTCTATGAACTTGTTTAATGGAAGGACAATAAATGATATTAAAAACATGAATACTGTAGCGGTATAATGATGAGAGAGATGATTTAAGTCATACTTTTTTCAATGTGATTGGAGTAGACTTGAGGGTGGGGGGGGGGGTCCCCCTCTAAGATCTCGGCCGTTTTACAGCCGATCGCCGCGAAAATGTGCATGCATGTCAAGTGAAGTGTATACAAAACTATGGTAATTTCAATTTTTGAAAAATTCACTCATTTGCATATTTATGGTAATTTATGCAAACAAGATCAGAGAATTCACATTTTTACCCATAAATCATATATAATTCATATTCAAGCGTTCTTTTTCACTACATATATTCGTTAAATAATAATACGACAACAAAGTTGGAAGAGCCAGTTTATCCCTATGGTATCTCTTGTTTTGATAATTTGTATGTATGTATTATATTGTTTTTGTTGTTTTATTTCATTTCTAAGCACAATTCAACTATTTTGACCCAAAAACAAACACATTAACTTGTAACAAGACCAAATAACCAATGTTTTCTCTTTTTTTTAAAGAATAAATGGTATTTCCATATGTTTGGTACATAAATCAAAAAAATGAGCGATTTTAGGGCTGACATGCAAAAACAAAAGGTCACGTGACTCCGCAACTATACGTCCAATTTAAAAAAAAAATGTTTCAAAAGATGCGTAAGACTCGAAAGAAAAAAAGTCATGAAAGAAAAACATTATATCTGCCGCGGTTCCGGAGTAGTCGCGAAATTACTAGAGAGCACTAATCTTTTTGGGGGGCACTCGAAAATTTAAAAAATCGTACCACCCCCCCCCCCCCCTTCCCCTTGAACGCCAGGGAGGAGGGGCCTATCTCCCAAAAACGGTAAAATTAACGTGTTTTTTTAAACGTTTTTTTCACAGGGCGGAGCCCTCAGAAGCTCAGGGGTATTAAACATCAAAATTAACGTCGGATGAGCATAATTTTATACCTATTTGTGACAGTGGCAGGACACAATTTGGTGTTGGGTCCAGGGGGCGGAGCCCCCAGAAGCTCAGGAGTTTTGTACATTAAAATTATTATTATTTTATACCTTATTTGTGACACAGGGGTCACGAATTGACGTGGGGTCCAGCGGGTGGAGCCCCCGGAAGCTCAGGGGTTTTGGGCAATAAATAACGGTCAGATGAGCACATTTTTATATCTATTTGTGACACTGGCAGGACACAAAGTGGTGTTGGATCCAAGGGGCGGAGCCCCAAGAAGGTGAGGGGTTTTATACATCACATTATCGTCAGATGAGCATATTTTTATATCTTTTTGTGACACTGGCAGGACACAAATTCTTCTTCCTTTTCTTTCTTTCGTTTTATCTTCTCTTTCCCTTTCCTTCTCTCTCTCTCTTATTTATTTTTTTGGCGGGGGGGGGGGGGAGGGAGGAGGCAAGAGCCCTTCGCCCCCGTTTTCCTCTTTTCTTATTCTTTTTCCTCTTCTTTCTTTCCTTTCTATTTTCTTTCCCTTTCCCTTCTCTCTCTCTCTCTCTCTCTTCTCTCTCTCTCTTATTTATTTGTTTGGCGGGAGGAGAGGGGGGGGGGGGGAGGTAAGAGCTTTCGCCCTTCCCCCGTTTCCATCTTTCCTTCTTCTTCTTTCTTCCTTTTATATTTCTTTCCCTTTCCCTTTCCCTTTCCCTTTCCCTTTCCTTCTCTCTTTCTCTCTCTCTCTCTCTCTCTCTCTCTCTCTCCTATTTATTTGTTGCGGGGGGGGGGGGGGGAGGGCAAGAGCCCTTGGCCTTGTTTCCCTCTTTCTTCTTATTCTTTTTCCTCTTCTTTCTTTCCTTTTAGATTTTCTTTCCCTCTCCCTTCTCTCACTTATTTTTTGGCGGGAGGAGGGGGGGGGGGGGGAGTAGGTAAGAGCCTTTCGCCCTTCCTCCGTTTCCCTCTTTCCTTCTTCTTCTTCTTTCTTCCTTTTATATTTTCTTTCCCTTCCCTTTCCCTTTCCCTTCTCTCTCTCTCTCTCTCTCTCTCTCTCTCTCTCTCCTATTTATTTGTTGGCGGGGGGAGGGCAAGAGCCCTTCGCCCCCGTTTCCCTCTTTTCTTCTTATTCTTTTTCCTCTTCTTTCTTTCCTTTTAGATTTTCTTTCCTCTCCCTTCTCGGCTCATTATTTATTTTTGGCGGGGGGGGGGGGGGGGGGGGGGGAGGGGGTGAGGAGGAGCCAAGAGCCCTTCGCCTCCCCCCCCCCCCCGTTTCCCTCTTTTCTTCTTATTCTTCTTTCTTTCCTTTTATCTTCCCTTTCCCTTTCCCTTTTTCCTTCTCGCAGTCTCCCCATCAACGTAGTAATAACGAAAGAGAACACTCTGTAATCAAGACCATTCCATTTTATTTAATACATTTTCGATATACTTAAATTGGCAACTATTACCTTATGTCCAGATCCTCATTTTAAACGACTGATGCGAAAGACTAGTCGACGCACCCTTTCGAGAAAAGCCCCCCCCCCCCCCCCCCGCTTTTATCGAAAGGGTGTGTTAAAACGGTACTCCGCTCTCAACGCACCCTTTCGAGAAAAGCGGGGGGCCTTTATCGAATGGGTGCGTTGAGCACACCACACCGCGCCGCGCCGCACCGCACCCTTTCGATGAAAGCCGTTTATACCTCCCAATTAACTTTTATATCGACACATTTTGTAGGTAAAATAGCCAAATATTTAACAATTATATAGTAGTAGTCTACAGTAGCCCCTTTGGCCTTCGAATATATCGATATCCCAAATGTTATTTTCTAGTCTATATTCTCCATAGAGATTTTCGCATAATGTAGACTACTGAAATTATAGACTATCACGTCTGTTGGGACCTGGCAACACTGACCGATTTACGCCTGGAATTTCACTAATCCTCTCATACATCCTAGTTTTAGATGGCTATAAAGCAACAATAAAATAATCAGCAGGTAATTGTACATATAATTTGTTGTTGGTGTTCATGGTGACGTTTATATCCTCTTTTCTGTGCTATTATAACGATCAATAGACAACTTCAAAATGCTACGACTATTTTACTGTAGCCCCATGTATTGACAATTTTGCTATTCAGTACATGTATGCGCGATGTCATGTGTGGCATGGGCATGGCAGAAACCGTCAATTTTGTTGTACCCCAAACTTTATTTGATGATAAGATATACAAATATTCCTTTTCAAGGGACATAGCAATAGAATCTGTTCTATTTTTGTTAGATTTATGGCCTATCAATGAGATATGTGTGGGAATTCCAAACTCATTTGCCAAACCATGCGAAAGTCTAGAAGTCTACAGTCTAGAAAGTCTATCTAAAATCTAACAGTCTCCCTCAAAAAAAAACTGAAAAGGGGAAAATCAAATCTGCCATAATTTCCTGGAGATACTATTGACTCGATGTAGAAACTATGCTGTAATGACCAACTCAATCCAGCTCCATGTAAAGACGTATGGTAATGTCATTCTTTGAGTTGGAAAGTGAGAAAAATGTAATTTTTAGTTTTACATTCATATTTCTCTTCCCCTCCCCCCTCTCTCTCTCTCTTTTTAATTTTAAAAATAAATCCAGGCTGATGAATTGCTGCATGGTGTTGGATGTAATTCATCATCCCCCCCCCCCCCACCAAGGCCAGCACAAGGTCAAATCGGCTCGACACCGGCATCTCCATCATTCTATTTGACCAACCGGTGGACAGACGAGGGACTCCTTGCTCTTCCGGACAGAGTTGAAAATGTGGACATCAGGATGGATAATTGATGCAGAGTATATCATATCAGGCTAGAGAGAGCTAACTGGCTTGTTTAAAGTATACTTCTCCCTATGGTCCCTTGCTAGTTAGACCAACATGGGTTTGTGCTTCTCACTATGTAAAGATGGTATGTATTTCTTTCTCTTGTATAATTTTGATGAATAAAGAATGTGTTAGAAAGTTAAAGACCGTCAATACTACTTGGCCAGAAGGGATTAGACCACACAGCGAGGTCACTGACTGGTGGCTATCTCATTAACTCAGCTCTCAACTAACATAAGAAAAGAGGATCATGGGGGACCAACAGGCACCGATTGGGGAATTTTTCTATATAGAGGGAGCAAGCAGCTCCAAGTAGGACAGGGGGGCTTTAAAACTCACATTCATAGTTTGATAATGATATGTGAAAATGAGATGTTTATCATAGTTAAGTATTACAGACAGATGTAGCTATTTCTTTTTTTTTGGACCCCCCCCCCCCCCCCCCCCCCCCCCCCCCCCCCCCCCCCCCCCCCCCCCCCCCCCCCCCCCCCCCCCCCCCCCCCCCCCCCCCCCCCCCCCCCCCCCCCCTCCCTAAGCTAGTTGACAAAATAGCAACTATAGACAATGTGTTTAGTGTGAACATACAATATCCATGTCTTCTTGTAAGATTTTTCTGCTCACTTGTGAAGTAAATATTTGAGTAGCAGAGTACATTGTGCCATAACTCCCAAATTCAATCTGTTAACACTAGACAGACATAATTCATACCCAACTCTTCCCTCCTCCCTCCAACAAATGTTACTCACTTGTATTTCATTATTGTAATAAAGAAGGTTATTGCAAAGGGGTGGAGTTAAATTATTCTCTCTTATATTTAAAAAAAAGGAAAAAGAGAATAAGCACAACATTTTTCTGGCCAAATAAAATGAGAAGTTTTTAAAAGGCTACATAAAAATTTCAAGGTAATAAAGTGAATTCATAATCTTTTCCTTCCAAATAAGAGTGTCTAATCTCCAATAATCTGTCATGAAAATACAACTTTGTTTTTATTATTTTTTGCCTTGTTTTGACAGATGAGGAAATAGGGGACATTCAAAGGACTACTGAAGATAACAGGTTAGCTAGAGATGGCCAGATAGCTGAAGAAGACAAGACAGCTAAATATAGACAAATCACTGAAGGTGACCGGATGGCCATAGATGAAGAGACAACTAAAGAGGACCAGAAAGTTTCAGTAGACCAGTTAGCAAGAGATGACCAGGTAGTTGTAGAAGATGAGATAGGTCAAGGAGATGACGTGGCAGGACATGACGCGAAAGCAGAGGATAAAATGATAAATGAAGAAGAATACATTTCAGAACTTTGCAGAAAATATTCTGCAGACAGACCAATACCTGAAGAGGAAGCGGAACTCTTCCTCAAAGAGTTGACCTTTCCTATACCAACCAAACCTCATCTCACCCTGAGCGAAGATGATGTTGCTGGCAAGAGAATCTTCGTGATTGGTGATGTTCACGGTTGCTATGATAACCTCCTAACTCTCCTGCACGTTGCTGATATTGACAAGAACCCCAATGCGCTGCTGATTTTTGTCGGAGACATCATCAACAAAGGTCCCAAGAGTTTGGAGGTTCTCAATTTCGTCCGCTCGTCAAACTCTTACTCCGTCATGGGAAACCACGAACGAGCTGCAGTCAGGAAACTGCGTCTCATAAAGATGAATGTTGGATACGAGCCAAAGGCCTCCAAGCAGTGGCTGCATGACTTGAATGGAAGTGATTATGAGTACTTGCAGGAGCTGCCCTACACCATCAGTATACCTAGTCTCAATGCCGTCATCGTCCATGGAGGACTCCTGCCAGGTAAACCCTTGGAGGAACACACCCAAGACGAGATGCTCCTGATGAGGAACATCATCGTGGAAGGCAACGAGCTGAAAGCTACCAAGCACATCAGCCAAGGGCAGCTCTGGGGTGAGCTCTGGAAAGGTCCTCGGCATGTCTACTTTGGTCACCATGCCCTAGAGGGACTACAGAGGTACCCTTACGCAACGGGTCTAGACACGGGATGCGTGTACCACGGATCACTCACAGGGGTGTTCCTTACTGGAGATAAGAAGTTGGTGTCCGTCAAAAACGAGGGCTGCAGAAATAAGGAAGTGATCCAATCTGAAGAAGGAGATCCAGGTGCAGCGATGTAGTCTAGACCAATCTCGGGTTTGTGCCATTTCATTTAGGTCTTGGCCTCCACATTGAGGCACATCCCTTGAAGGTTCTGTTTTATGTGTTTGAATGATAAATACAAGTTCAGGGAATAATTTTCCTCAAATTTTTGATTAGCAATTTCAGCCGATGGATAAATATTTCAAATGAAATTCTGTACTTTTCTATGGAAGAAAACTGCTACACAAAAGATAATTTGTATAGCAGTCATGCAAAAATGCATAGCAAATTGCGATGCGATACCAGGAAAATTATTCCCTGAAGTTGTGAAATCGTTCATAGATCTGCATTATTGCTGCTCAGGACACGCATAGTCTCTAGATGAGGGTATTGTGTTTTTAAAAAGAGAAACATATACCTCCTTTGTATGTGGGTTTTTTTTTCTTAGTGCATTTTAAGCACTCTGAGGAAAAATGCCTTAATCACCTAGAAGTTTCTTTTTTGTTTTAGAAAATCACCTCACCTGATGTTTGTTTTCATTACTTTTTTTGGGGGGGATGTAATTACGAAAGTTTAATTACGCTTCACTTTTCTGTATCTTATAACACAGAGCGCAGCGATAACGTGTAGTACTTTTGTTGCGCACCGTTGCCATTGCTCTACACGTTACAAGGAAACCCGCTGTGGTTTACCGCTGCACATCTGAATGAGCCTTGAGATTCCTGGTTTTGGACTCGGGCAGGACCCAGGTCTTGACTTCATCTTTGTCCAGGGGTCGTTTCACAAAAACTTGTCATCAGTGACAAATGACAGTTTTTGTTATAAGCTACTGAAATCCTTGCTTCTGATTGGATATTGGCAGATTTGTCACTTATTTTTGTCATTTGTCATTGAAAAAGGGCTTTGTGAAATGCCCTCCAGATGATGGCCTAGATCATTTCTCAACTCGCTCTTGCAGGAAGAAGATTAGAAATGTCGAACATAGAAATAATGTTCTCTGGAAGTGGAGACTGTATCATGTACTTATTATGCACGTGCTGTTCTGTACCAAAGATGGTTGCTCACATGCCTTAGAGTAAAATGAAGTATTACTAGATCTCTTGAAAGGAATATATCAAGAATAGAGATCTTTTGCAATAAATAATAGGTGCACATGTAGAATGTCGTATCAATATTTGTATCACTAGCATTTTTTTTTTTACTGTCAAGAAATTATTTCTGGAAAATGTGCATAGTGGTGTTTTCAAATACATTGTAGTGTGAACAAAATGTGAATGTTTTGAATATTTTTTGTTTGTCTATTATGACAAAGGGTGATTTATTTTTCATATACTTTGAAAGAAAAATGAGGAAATTACACTTTACTTGGTTAAAGTACCTCTATACCTGAATGTCCATTCACATGCTCCAGTTTTAATACTGCAACATTTTTGTTGCGGTAATTCATGAATGCCAAGTGGTCATGACAAAAGTAACTGGGCGCAACAATTGGTCCTTTACCTACTGACTTATCTATGCATTTTAGAAGAGACAAACGTGTGGGGAGAGGTGCTCTTTAAAAGAAAAATAACAGCGGTAAACTACAGCGATTACTACAGCATATGTTAACAAACCTTTACTGTACCTGATGTGTATGGCCTTCTCAGCTCGCACAGCGACATTTTTATGACTCTTGGTGGTCGCATACGCTCCAAAACTAATTAAAGCACCTTTACAGTCACAAAGCTGATGTGCATTCAGTGTTCCATTCTAGAACAACGTACGTCCCCTGGACCCTCATCCTCTGGACTATTGACCTACAGGTAAATCACCTCCTCAAACAATTGCGTCCTACATGTTGATGGACAAGTACCCCAAGGGGGGTGTTTCACAAAGATCCTAAGCTGAACTTATCTCTAAGTTGGACCTAACAATTATGGAAAGCCATTAGCATCTTTCAAAATATTTTGTAAAGGTTATTTCTAAAGGCATAAACTGTTGAGTCAAATCATTCATATTTTCTATTATCAAGGAGATTTTATGTTCTTGATGTGGAATCTATGAAAAGTCTACAATACTTGAATTTTTGCGTTTGAATATATTTTATCTTAAGGCTACAAATGGCTCTCCATAATGTTTAAGTCCAACTAAGAGTTAAGTTCGACTTAGGATCTTTGTGAAACACCCCCCTGGTCAACAATTCCATAGATCCATATCCACCCTCCTCTGAGGGCAGGTACATATAGTTATCTGAGGGGTACTCGGATTTGTTTTTTTATAGTTTTTTTTAAATTTATGGTGGTATTTGTCAGGGGCAGTTCTCTTTAGATGGAGTAGGCTAATCGTCCAGGGATTCTTTTGATCTGTTAATAGTATAGTGGAAATGATTATGATTAACTTTTAATACTACAGTATCTTTATATGATTAACTTTTAATACTACAGTATCTTTATATGATTAACTTTAAATACTAACAATATATGTTTATATGATTAACTTTCAATACTACAAATACGCTTATATTATTAACTCTTAATCCTACAGTATCTTTATATGACTAACTTAAAATACTGAAAATATATGTTTATATGATTAACTTTCAATACTACAAATACGCTTATATTATTAACTTTTAATACTTCAGTATCTTTATATGATTAACTTAAAATACTGAAAATATATGTTTATATGATTAACTTCCAATGTACTACAACTATGTTTACAATGATTAATTTTAAATAATACAATGTTCATATGATTAACTTTCAATACTATGAGTACTAGTTTTCATGTTTATTGAATGTAAAAAGCACCTTGTGCCTTGAATGGTCTGTATGTACCACCTATATATCACTCATTTGGGTATTGATTGTGCTAAACTGGAATATTATGTACAGCAGGGTCTTGATATAGTGAGAGAATATAATGTACCGGTATACACATGTTCTACTGAAAAATATATAAAGTCACTCTTGCCTATAGCACTGTTCAATTAGATTTTATGCAGGAGAACTTACATTTACAGTAGTTAAAGGGCTTTATTAATATAGCCTCATAACATGTCAGGGAATTGTTTTTCCAAAGTTTCATACTTCCAAATACAAATTTGCCATACCAGGGGGTATGGGGGAGAAAACCCTGAAAATTAAATAAGGTTATTTAAATGATCCTGAAACTTTTGAATTAATGACAGAGATTTCTGTTTCTACAATGTACCCTTTGTCATTTTCAGAATTACAACCACTACAGCATTATAAAACAAATTAATGGATCTTCAGAAATATGATTCTTTGGAAAAATGACATGTAACGGTAGCAGTGACAAAATGTATTATAGCCTGTCCACTCTACATGTATATCTGCAAATGTGACTTGCGCTTTGATACATTAGAAAGAATTTCCAGTAATATTCCTATGATTAATGACCATTTTAAAATCTCCCACAGTCGCCAAGATTTGCTTTGACTGGTCAGAAAGCAGCCAAAAGCAGAATTGAGATTAATGTTATGAAAAAGTAGAGGAACGTTCAAGCAATACTGTACTAGAAGCACTACCACGAAATCCCCTCTGGCACCATCTCACTTCGGCTGAAGCAGTATGGTCCCTCAACTCCCCTGCTTCTCTGCTTCTTGCCTTGAGTCCTTGGTTTGCCAAATTAGGTATTGACTTACGCACTGGTAACAAGTTGATCACGAGACGATGCTGTGCAATAAACGGTGCGCTAGGGCAGAAAGTTCATCCGTTCGGTATTGCTTTAATGCAGGGTAAAGAGTGCAATCCACGAAGTGTTTGAAATTCAAATCATATTGACAAACTAATACCGCACATGTACACTTGCACTTTCAGTGTGGCCATCACTGATTATCTTTCTGTTGTGCTTTTGACTTCAAGCGATAATAGCGATGATGAAAAATGGAAAATTACAAGGTTTTCTTCATTTTAAAGTGCTCTTTGCTTTAAATGTATAAAGTTGTGGACTTTCATGTTTATTACTGTGCTTTCTTTGTGACTTGAGATGTCATTTGACAGTTGATATGATTGTCAATTGAACCATTCACCAACAAAAATAAACATGTGCTTTGTACTTGGAATGCCATGTTGGTATTCTTAATTAAAAATACTTGTATCAGCTTTAAATATTACTCCTTTATAAAAAACAAGGGGAGATACGTCAAGTTTAAAGGAGAATTTCACCCTGATATCGAGTTGGTTGTAATAGAATCAGAAAATGAGAGTGCACCTCTCGAGATAAGCACAGAGTAGCCAATTTGTGTTAGATGATCGCAGCTTTAAAAATGTATTACTATCTTATTTTTAATCGGTTTTTCTGCGTAATAATAATAAGTATGTATTTTCCATTAATTTATTAACTGTACAAATATCTTGTGCTCTTTCACCAGTATGCAATAATGTCTAGTATTAAAATGGATCCAAAGAATATTAATCCTATAATTGGGACAGTGGGATTGTTGTGCTGTAATAGTATTGAATTAATGTTTATTCATCTCTCTCATCATTGGTATTATAAATAATTAAAGTAGATATTATGGTAACTGATATTAGCTCTTGATACTGTTATTGGGGATAAATTTGCTGGGACACTAACCTCTAACCTATGGGCATTGCTTGTGTTGCCTTTATAATGCTTTGCTGACCATTTGACATGAAATTTGTACCGAATTCGATTGATTCTTTGTTAGGATGGATGCGTCTATCAACATAATGCAAGTGGAAAGCAATATCAAAGGTGTACATACATGGGCAATGGAAGTCAAACCTGTCTGTAAAGGCCACCCAAGGGACACAGAGAAAGTGGATACTGTAGACAGGTTGCCTTTCTAGGAAGGATCTACAACATACATTTATTATCAGAGGGAGGCAAAATACATGACCACTATAGACAGGTGGCCTGTATACAGTGCATAGGGAGGCAACCACTATGAGACAGGTTTGGGTGTATTTCAGAAGTACCCTTCCTGTCATTTGCAGCTTTATAAACTTAGGGGTTCAGAGAAGCCAGACAGATTAAAGTATGATATATATATATGTATGATTAAATACTTATCCCATTCATGCCAAAATCCAGGATGTTCAGATATTTAAGTTATTATTATTTTTTGTTTTTTTAATACCTGTATTTGAGCTTGCAACATTGAAATTTGTAACACACTGTGTACCCGGTAAGCTACTGAAAAATCTGTCTTTGATTTTGAAAAGAAAATGAGGATGTTATTAGGTAGAAGTTGCTTTAAAAAATTGGTGCTTTAATTTACTTGATCAACTTCAAGGTAGATGTAGATAGAAAACTATGCAAATCACTTAGGTAAGTCTGTAATTCACTGTAATGTGAGATTTGGTGTTAAGGTAGGATCACTTGAACAATAGGAGTTGTAGAATTTTGGATACAGGGTAATTATAATGGTTGTAAAGGTATATGCCTTTTTAAAAACAAAATATATAAGTTAAAGGGGAAGTCCACCCTCATATCGAGTTGGTTTCAATAAAAACAGTTAAAGGAGAGAAACAAATTAGTAAAAGTTAGAATTGTTTCCTATTAAAAATAGGAGAGTTTTGAAGTTATCAACAATGAAACACAAATTGGCAACACCGACGTACATGTATATTGCAAGCTCTTATCCAATTTGCTCTTTACAGAAAATTTTAAGCTTTCATATGCTTAGTTGATGCTGAAATAGATTTGTTTCGTACAGGGGTTGTATAAAAACATATTTGCAATAATTATATTTAGGGTTTTTGTACATGTATGATTGAAAATTTTCTTATGGGAAAATGTAAATTGTTGAAGTTTCTAATACAGGTAAAATGAGAGGGGACCTCTCGAGATACTGCACAGAGTTGCCAATTTGTGTTTGATTGATAGCAGCTTCAAAAATGTATTACTACATGTACCTTAATGGTTTCTTGCTCAAACTTTCACAGACCGGTTCCTCACATTTTTCTACTTCTATTAAAACCAACTTCAAATCAGGGTGGATTTCCTTTTTAAAGTGTAATAAATATACATGTATATATATTATATGAGATGCACTACAGTATGTGCCCGTGTTGTTTCCCACATTTGGGATAATATGCAATAGTATGCAAATGATCAAATAGTTATGTCTGTTGTCAAAGAGTTAAAGGTAAAGACCAGTATTGGAAACGCCCCAATTTCAAAAAATGAAATGGAAGCTCTCATTACCAATCATGTGAAAGAATATGTTTTGACTAATACATGATGATAACAAATTTGCCGGGAAACCGCCTACTAATTCATATATTTGGTAAATTTGTTTCTCTCATGGTCTGTGAGAGATATAGGGTAGTCCCATATACATCTTTCTGTGTATAGTGCTTGTAACTTTACGAAGAATGGGCCAAATTTCTTATCATTTTGATGATTCCAGAACCTTACAGATGCTAGATGCTACATGTAGATGATCAACCTTTTCTGATTGATTCCACAACATTTATTTCACAATGCAATCGCATGACCATAACTGGTCTTTACCTTTAATGCCTTTCTGGCTCTGAGCAGACAATATATACATGTACATGAAATTATATATGAAATTAATGAGGGAAAAGCATGGAAAATTATTTTACTCTGTTTATATTTCATTGTTATCTTGCCATTCTTCTAACCGGATTGACTTTGCGACACTGCATGGCCGGTGGAAATGTGTTAAATATTAGCTTTTTTAGTGATTTGCTGCTGTCTTGTACTTACTCAAATATAAATTTGCTGCATAATGTAAAGGATGAACAAAAAAGTGATGATACTTTCATTTTGCCGCACATCCACATCCAAAGAGGTTACGGTACGGTGTATCACATGTTAAATATTAAGCAGTTGAAATATTTATTGCTCGGGCTGAAAGAGAAACCATCAGTGAATTTAAGAAATCTAAACAATGTTTAAGTTGAGAGAATAACATTTGTTTTTCATTTTTAACAAGAATAATCAAAATGTTAACAAGCTAAAATCATGTGTCATCACAACTAGATGATAATTGAAAAGATATTTCATACCATCATTGCTATCACCCTTATGATTGAAGTTTCAACAAATATTTGAAATCTTGTAGCAAATAATTATTTCTAGCACTGGTTGACATGTACTGCCAGAACAAACTGTGGACGAAAAATGTGCTGCACAGATATTCTATAATGTCAAACAGTAAATGTCACATTTTGATATTTCATTACTGTAGTAATTCTGGGTTGCAAATAATAGTAGGAGAAGCCGGACTTGTAAATTTCGGTTAAATCTTATCATGTCAAGAGTGCTTTTTGTGTGTATATTTTTCCCTTTATTCATGCCAAAGTAAAGTCACAATGCAAATGATGTATTATTACCAATACTGACGGTTTGAGTGACTCCTAGTAGCATATAGGTGCAGAGGGTAATATTTGTACATGTTCAGTATGTCAAAATACGATATCAAATGAAGGATATACATGTTCATGAATATTGGAGTTATCTTGGTGAAATATAGTGGAATGAAAAACTAAAATGCATTAGGAAAATGCAACATTAACTAGCTGGTGATCAAAAGTTATAAGAGTGACCTGTGTTGTAGTACAACTAAAAGTGGATATACAGTTTTTGGTATCTGTGGTATGGTGTTGTAGTTAAGTGGTGTAAACACTGGGGTAGAGATGCCAAGGTTGTGGGTTCAATTCCCTGAATGGTACTTGCGTTTGTTGCTTCTCTCCCCCAGGTGTTGTATGGGTACCTGGTAGGATGTCAGTAAGTCAACTTTGTAGTTTGCTCAGCAATATGATCATCTGTAAAATGGTGCCGGGGTGGAATGCTCCCCAGGGAGTGGAGAATTTGCATACATGTGTGGGCAAGCCTGAATCCACTGACTAGGCTTATATGTGAAGAGCTAAGAGACATTGTCAATGTACATGTATTAACCGCTATATAACACCAGAATATTACATGTATTGTTATTGTTATCTTTAAGCAATATGTAGAAACTAGGAGTCGTTTATTACAAATAATAATATAATTACAAATATTGAAATGATATCAATGCATGAGTACAAATTAAAGGGAAAGTCCACCCCAAAAATAAGTTTGTTTCGATAGAGGCAGAATAATAAGAAAATCAGGTGAGTGAAAGTTTGAGCAAATTCTGAATGAAAATAAGAAAGTTATGAATTATTGAAGTTGTGATCAATCAAATACAAATTGGCAACTCTGTGACTTATTATACGAGCTCTCCTTCATTTGCTTTGTGCATAATATTCCATAAAATCATGTTTTCTTCGTTATTGATGACGGAATATATATTTGTTCCTTGCAGGGGGAGTATAGAAACATATTTGCAATTATTATATTTAGGGTGCATGTATGGTTGAAATTTTTCTTGAGGGAAAATGAAAATTTTAGATTTTTTTAGTACTGAGCAAATGGAAGTTGAGCTCACATGATACGTCATAGAGTTGCCAATTTGTAATTGATTGATCACAACTTCAATAATTCATAACTTTCTCATTTTCATTCAGAATTTGCTCAAACTTTCACTCACCTGATTTTCTTATTATTCTGCCTCTATCGAAACAAACTTATTTATTGGGGTGGACTTTCCCTTTAAGAATTCATTAGACCATTATCTGTTGTTAATTAACATAGTTCTTCATGCTACATGTACTATATGTTTCACAAAGGTTTTTATCTTACATTTAGCTGCTTGAATATATCCTACAATGTACATGTATGTAAAGTTTATTTGAGAATGGTATGGTTTACTTTTTGATTTACAACTGTATATCAGCAGGCTTTTTTCACTAGCAGTTCATTGAATTGTCATAGTTAACATGTCATTTTAAAATTACTTTACAGGTGGATTAGCAATTGTAGGCCAGGTTTTCAGGGATTACATCATGTCTTTTGTAAACAAATAGAGTACTGTACCAAAGTAGTACCAAAGTATAACGTCATACTTGCCAAGTTATCAAGGTTGCTCGTTCCAAACAGTTTTATGCTTATCAGTGGTGTGGTGATGACACTGGAGGCAAACACTGAATTTACCCTGCTCCAGTCCGTTTAGAACCAGTAACCTAAATGATGAGTGAATACATGTATGATTTATTAAAGTACTTTGGTACTCTGTAGGGGCCATGAAAAGGGCTGGTTGAAATTAATCTATGTTAAATCTCTTTTCAAGTAGTCCTACTTCTGATGGACATTGTCATTCTAGATTTGAGAAATTGCAGTGAGGTTCAGGAAAACAACTTGATAATTTCACATTTACAAAGCATTTCAGTTTTTAGTTTTTCAATGCCTGAGATTACTTTTAGGTTCCAACTGATGAGTACGGTACTACTTTTAGAATTGGAGGTAATTTTGAAGAAAAAAATATTACCCCTGGGACATGACAGGTTTCAAGATTAAAATAATGTCAGTATTAAATAGAATAACATCAATATTTTGTCATTTTTCAAATTTAACTTTTAATCTGAAGTGCTCCTGAATCCTTTAAGATATTTTCTAGTCACGTAGCCAATTCATTGGATTAGAGACAAATTGTGAACCAAAAATGACGTTTTTGTAAGGTCAAATTGTAGAGAGTTACTTGTAAACACTGCTATATCGTTTTCCTCTGTGTGGAACTGACATTATGCATGGTATTTTTCAAATGTCTTATGTGCAAGCGATGCAATATATTTACCAATTGTCACTATGTAATAATGATAATATAAAGTATTTATAAATACGTGTTGACTCCACATACACATAACTAATGACCTAAGTGCACAATTCAAGAAGAGAAGTAAGAATATAAGAATGTACAAAAAAGGAACTATTTAAACACAACTTACTGCTATTTCTATTAGATGTAATTTGAGCTTTGTTAGGGCATTTTGAAACAATGTTCACCCAAAATATTATAAAGATTACTTGTGGCAGTTGATTTTCACCATTACGATCCAGTATGTGCAAATAGTCCCATGATTTCTTTGTTTTGTCAATTGAATTAAAGGGATCAAGGAACAAGCATATGGAGTCCGACAAATTGTAACTTCCCCCCCCCCCCTCCCCCCTCCTGTGCCCCCTCCCCCACTCCTGCGGATTTAATGTTCTAACAGATGAAAACAGTACTCATTGCATTGTATCCAAAGGAAAAAGGTGCTTTATTACAATGCCATTACAGTCAAACCTGTAGATAAAGACCACCCACAGAAGACAATAAACATGGTCATTATAGACAGGTGGTCTTTTTGTACAGGCTCTCTTGGTACATGTTTCCAATGAGAAACACTAATAAAAGGAAACCAAAAATGTGGTCCTTATAGGCAGGTGGTCTTTGCGTACATGTTCCAATGAGGAACACTATTCAAAGGAAAACAAAAAAAGTGGTCTTTATAGACAGGTGATTATTCTATACAGGGGGTCATTAATGAATGTTTTACTGTATTACTCTATGGTGGCAGGGGTTACTAGATCAGGGCCTTGTTTCATAAAACTTGTTATCAACAAAAAGTTACAATGACTAATAAGCTATTGAAATCATGGCATTTGATTGGCTGGGAGCAAAGTTATATAATTTTTGCATTTGTTATTGATAATAAGTTTTATGAAACAGTGTCCAAGTGAACCGTAAAGCTCATTGGAGTTTTTACACTCCTACTTATAATGTATATTGTACACATGAGTGTGCTGGGGACATGTTACAATAAAAAGCACTACTAATAAATTGAGTATATGTTGTGTTTTATTTTCATTTGTTTATTTATTTATACATTCCAGCATTTTTTGTAGACAAAAAATATACAATGTTTGGCGAGAATAATTCCTTAAAAAGCTGATCTGAATGGAAATGTTAAAGATAACCCTCCATGTATAAAGGCCTTGTCATATATCACAGATAGAGTATGAAAATCAGTTTATGTAGACAAATCATAGGATTTTGATAATGCTTATGGGACTTCGGCACTGATTTTCTTGCATCCAATACTTATTTTATATAGACTGATTTTATTTTATAGCTACAGTTGCTAACTGGTAGAGATGATATGACCAACCCCTTACATCACACAACATAGTCTTGAGATTCCTCACATTATTATTGATCTTTCAAAATTAGCATAACATGCATACTTTTCTGCTTCTCCCCATGCCAATCATTTATGATGTGTTGAATCCCTTTTAATGTCTACCTGCAAATTGGCAACTCAAGAGGCAGCATGTCAGAATCTAGTCTGAAATGTCAGAAAGATGCAATCATAATTCATTTACTGAACATACCATTATGCATGTATATATCTCTCTGAAATGAAAGAGGGAAAGAATAGGTGTATTTTTATAATATCATACCAACAATTATTTCAACAATTATTTCAATATTACTCAGATTAAAAAAGGAGGGGGGGGGGGGTAACTATCAGAGTCACATTAAGTTTTGAGACCTTGTGTCAGCCCAACAATAATTGATCATTGTTCCATAACGCTTACAAGGTTTAAGATACAAAGGACCACGTCCTTGTCCATATCACTTAACATACATTCATAAACATATTTAATATATTGATAAAGAACATTTAAGAGTGATTTGATCTAGAATACAAGATGGTTTGGTGCATTTCATTTCTTGAATCTGACATGAAGACTCAGCTTGACATCACAGTGGAACGCATCCATCAGATCTTGGGTTGCTTGGCGACCAATCCATGCTAGCTTCTTCTCCAACATCCTCTGAAGGAAGAATTGTGTGAGAAATTGAGACAAGAATGAGAAAAGATTTAAAGGTAAAGACCAGTTATGGTCATGCGATAGCATTGTGAAAGAAACGTTGTGGAATCGATCAGAAAAGGTTGATCATCTAGCATTTAGCATCTGCAAGGTTCTGGAATCATCAAAATGATAAGAAATTCGGCCCATTCTTCGTAAAGTTACAAGCACTATACACAGAAAGATGTATATGGGACTACCCTATATCTCTCACAGACCATGAGAGAAACAAATACCAAATATATGAATTAGTAGGCGGTTTCCCGGCAAATTTTTTATCATCATGTATTAGTCAAAACATATTCTTTCACATGATTGGTAATGAGAGCTTCCATTTCATTTTTTGAAATTGGGGCGTTTCCAAAACTGGTCTTTACCTTTAATTTGATTTGATTTATTTTTCCACTCAAGTATCCAAAAATTAAAGACACTCGGTAGTTAGCTCTCATGGGGAATTCAACAATGTTCGGGTGTTTACCCAATAAGAGGTGCTGTCAATCACCAGAATTAGCCTTCAGTTTTATGACCAGCAGGCCTTATGTAATGTACTGCATTTTCCACCCATTCCCCCACATGGTAAAGTCATCATCTCACTTTTCCCTCACCCGAAAACTCTCTGAGAGACGAGGTGGTATTTCTTGATTTGCTTGATTCGCTGTGTGCAGACCTAATACCTGTACACACATTAATGACTTTTATTCACCAAGTCTGGTGTCAGCGAATTATGGCCTTCTGCACATGGAAACTGACGAGTGACTCCCTTTAAATGACATATATAAATCATACAGATGGACAGAGTAACAACCTGAGAGAGAATGGATGAGACGTAGATCACAGAACAGATGGAAATCATTCCATCTCATGGCACAACAATCCCACACATTGTATTCTTTCAAAGAATTTTTTTTTTTCTTCCAAGGAGCATTAAAAAAAAAAGGATATCTTTATAGTGCACATATCCACCCTGCAAGGTACTCAAGGTGCTCAAATATTACCCCAGCTCTGCTAGGCTACTGATTTCAGTGCACGCAGTATTCACAGAATTCCTTTCTACCTCTACCCATTTAAAGTCACATAGAAGTCAGCTCTCATGGGGAATTCGACTTCGTTCGGGTGTTTAACCAATAACAGGTGTTGTCAATCACCAGGATTAGCCTGGAGTTTTATGACCATTAGACCTTATGTAATGCTTTGCTTTTCCCCTTGCCCGAAGACTCTCCGAGCATGTTCCGAGAGAATAGGGGGTACATGTAATTCTTGACTGGCCTACAGGTTTGCTGTGTGCAGATTTGTACTCCCATTAATGGTATTTCCACCAAGTCTGGTGTCGGCGAATTATGGCCTTCTGCACATGGAAACTGACTACCCACTCCCTTTAACACCTGGGTGTGGAGCGGCAAATGTGGATTATTGTCTTGCCCAAAGACATTAGTGCCCCTGTGGAACTCAAGCTGTAAAACCATGTGATCCACAGTCCACAGAACTATCCACCAGACCACAACACCTCTACAATGAGAAGACTCCACCATGAACAGTATTAGTGATACTTCACTCAAAATTCCACATATGTTGTATAAACTCTTGCATACACAACTGTGTACTGGTTTAACATATACCGGTTGTAGGTGGGGATTAAGATTTTGGGCATGATCTAAACTATTTTTCAAGTCTCTTTTTGTTTCCATATTCCTTGCTTAGGAAAGTGGCCTTTCCCAGCGACATTGATCTATGGAGGTATAAATATAAAAAAAGTAAGTTGATTAAAAAAAAAAAAAATTGGAGGGGGGGGGGGGAGGGAGGGGTGCTATTTGCAGGGAGGGGTCATCCAAACTACTGGTGTACAAGAAGATAAATAGATGATATACATACCACATGAGATTTCTTATGACAGATCAGAATCTGGACGATGTGCAGCTCACCGTTTTCCCCTGTCCTCCATAACTCAGTGGACTAAAGGACAAAAGTAGAGGAGATAACTGTCATTATAGCATGGGTCAAGTAATTTATACAGGTATTACGATCTGCATCAAGAGAGTGAGTGAGAGAGAGAGTGAGAGACAGAGAGAAAGAGAGAGAAAGAGGGAGAAATAGGGAGAGAGCAACAGTTGAGGAGACAAGAAGGGAAAGGAATCGCTTAAAATGACATCACTACAAAATAGAAAAAAGACTTCTTGGCTCAAAACCACCCAAAATCAGAATACCAGAAAATTTAGGCAATATTGAGCCTAATCAAGTGTAATAGATCATTTATTTACCAGCTCCACTTCTTAACAATGTGGTTCCACCTCTATGGGCCAAAATAACATCTCCTCTGAGGCAACATTGGTACCCACAAAGATGGTTTATTTTGTTGGTTAAAACGGTTATTATAATTCCTGACCAAGTTTTGCTTGACACCTGTGAGATGTTGTAGGGGACCTCCCGAGGAAGTGCCTCAAGACGTTTCTCTCTAATTGCATCTTTGAAAATCTCCTCTAGGGAAAATAGTTCACCACAAACATGGTTTATTTTGTTAAAACACAGTTATTATAATTCCTGACCAGTTTCGCTCCATACCTGTGATATGTTGTAGGGGACCTCCTGAGGTAGCGTCTCCAGAAGTTTTTCTCTAATTGCATCTCTGACGATCTCCTCTGGAGTAAGGTTGGTCACCACATCCTCATGGTACTCCCAATCACCAGGCTTGGCGTTGGTTACCAAGAACTCCTTGAATATAAACACAGCAAAGAAGTGTAAGTCTGAAGGCTTATTTGTGTTGTAAACAAAAAAGTTTAATTCTTAAAGCCCCACTGTACTACTTGTAGCTACATGTACTTGCTCCCTCTATATATAAAACAATTCCTAATCTGTGACTATCGGTCCCCCATGATCCTCTTTTTCTGATTTTAATTGAGAGCTGAGAATTGAGATGGCCACGTGTCAGTGTCTGGGTGGTTTAATCTCTCCTGGCCAAACTAGTACAGACAGGCTTTAATAACTGAAGATTTACACATTAATACCTTACGACATGTATGTGTAGGATGAATCTGACAGCGATATAAACTGTTGCCCATAAAGTTAGAATATTTTTGTCTCGCCTCTTTTCATGAAATGATTGTGACAATATGCATGGCCCCTGTGGGGCGGAAGTTCCATTTCCCTTAATGGCCATTCTCCAAACATTCCCGTCTTCAACATTCACCTCGCCAAGGACAGAGGGCAGAATCTCTCATTACTTCTTCTAGTGTCTTCTTTCTGGGGGGTGTTACACAAGTACTAAGATCGTCTTTAAGTTGGATCAACTATGGCAGGCCGTTCGTGCCACTGTTTGCTCTCACCATTATGATCTTTAGATAATGATATTATATTTTCCTTCAATAATGAATCATCCCAAAATGCAAATTATTTAGATCTGTGACCATGCTGTCTACATCCTTTGAGAGACCAATGCCAGTTATTGGTGAGAGCAAACAGTGGCATGAATAGCCTGCCATAGTTAACTCCAACTTAAAGTCGATCTTAGTCTTTGTGAAACACCCCCAGGTCTTCCATCGACTTCCAATGACTTGGAAATCTATTCTGGGATTCTTGTTTGTTATACGCAGTCACTAAAGCAGGTACCTTACAAGAGACACATCACTAGCTTACCTTTAGATCATTCACACCGTCTCCATGGAGAGCAGATACCATGTAGACAGCCTTGAATCCATTCCATCCACTCCTCTCCTTAGCCATCCTCCACATTCTCTTCCTCTCCTCTCGTTCCCTCTCCATCTCCTCCTTCTCCATCTTCATCCTCTCCTCATCATGCCCCTCCCTCTTTTGCCTAGCAACCACTCGATCTCCATCATCCGAGAGTTCAAAGAGGTTGGCAGTATACTGCTGCATAATATCTTTTTTTCTCATGTCCAGGTCATGTGATTGCACTGTGTTGCCTTCTGTCACCTGACTTGAATCGTCTGTCACATGATCTGTCACATGACCTTCATTTCCTTGTATTTGGTCAAGTTTGGGGGGTTCCATCACCTGACTTGTGCCATCTGTCACATGATTGGTCATGTGACTTCTATTTTCTTGTATGTGGCCTTCGGGATTGGTGCTAGAGAGTTCTGAAGAGGCCTTGCTGAATTTATCATGATCCTGGACATGAAGTCTACTTTTATCCTCTTCCCCGACAGACGTCTGAGACCAGCTCATCTGTTGCATAGCATTCACCCTCACAGATGGATTGTCCGGGCTACTTGATGACTCCGTCCCACCTCTGGGCACACCACTATCAGCAAGTCTGGAAACCACCAAGTTCCTTTCATCGTTTCCCATCTCGCTTTCCTCCTCACCTTGCCTTTTCTCTGTCCTTTCAGAATTCAGACTTTCTCTGATCCGATCCTTGAACTTCCCCTTCCTCCTGGGAGACACAAACTCCTTGCCATCGACCACACCTTCCGTCAAAACCTCGGTGATCTCAACTAAAGACTGCTTGGCCTTCACAGCATCCACCTGGAAATTATGAATAAGACAGAGATATGTTATGTTTATGCAAAAATACAATGTCTATTTACATGAATATATAAAGTCTAAAGTGACATAAAAAGTAAATCCATTGTCATAACCTTGGACCCATCTTAAAATTTGGATTCATATGTGATGTCTTAAAAGATAAGGTATAAAGGATTCCAATTCCATAGCCAGCCTGTTTTTTTCAATGCATTATTGGTATGATTCTAAGAGCATCTGTCATGACTTAACCCTTACTGTACTGGGCTATTTTGAGCACCTAGTGACTGGGGGGGGGGGGGGGGGGGGGGGGGCTGGGAGGGCCCCCCCCCCTATGATCTTGGCCGTCGAAAGTCTGATGAACGCGAAAATGTGCATGTTTGTAGATATTTACGTAAGGAACAAGATGGTATATAATTAGTTTTTTCCTAATATGCAAATTGTTGTCATTATAGCCTAATTAATTATGCAAAATGCTAATTTCATGCATTTTACAGAAAACTCTTCATATTTGTCTCTAGACTTGTGGAGAATGTTGAAAATGTATTGAATAAATGTTTTCTTCATCTCAAATTCATAAGGTTACATTATTTTTATGATATTTGAAAATGCATAGTTTAATTTGCATAAATTATGAATATCAAATCTGAAAATATACAGGGAACTAGATCTAGAATCATTACAAAACTTGTCAGACTCCACTTTTTGAATGTTAATTAAAGAAACCCATTATTCATATGAAACTTCTTTTCTAACACAAAATAGTTATTTTGATGTAATTAATAATGATAATTTATGCAAATTTGATGCAATTTTCAAATATTTATTTTCTTTTGTATTTTATTGTTTTTTATATCTTTTTATATCTATTGTTTTATTTCTAATGTATTCTTTTGTTCTAAGTTACTTTGAGAAACATGTAAAAGCAAAACTTAGGAAGAAATACATTTCTGCTTGTACATGAATATATGCAATTATAGCATATTTTTGATGACATGCGCATATTAATTGTTATGTAACACCTTACAGGTGTATCCGATTTCGACGAAAATGGTATCAAAATGCGTAAGACTTGAGGGAAAAAATTCATGAAACGACAATTCAAAATTCCAAGCGGTTGCGGCGCAATCTTCGAAAATGTCAGGGCGGCGCAATCTTCGAAAATGTCAGGGGGGGGGGCCTCCCAGGCCCCCCCCCCCCCCCCCCAGTACAGAAAGGGTTAAAGATAAAGGGCAGTTCTGGAAACTTTGGCCCAGTCTTGGTAAAGTTACAAGCACTGTACACAGAAAGATGTATATGGGATTACGCGACACATGCACGATATCTATCCGGTCCAAATAGATATAATAATTTATCAAATAGTTCAATTAGTAGGCAGTTTCCCGGCAAAATTTGTGTCATCTTGTATTAGTCAAAACATATTCTTTCACATGATTGGTAATAAGAGCTTCCATTTCACTTTTTGAGAGGGGGAGCATTTCCAAAACTGGTCTTTACCTTTAAGGATTCAGTCACTTCTATTTCTACTTCTACATTAATTTTTGGTAGAATGTTTGGTATCCCTTCAAGCAAATTACTAACAGTTTTAAGACAAAAACCACAGTAGTACAGAAGAAGGCGCGATAGCTCAGTGGTAGAGCAGTGGTCCAGAAACCATGTGGTTTCGGTTTGAAACCAAATTGATACGCTAGGGCCATTTGGTAAGTAGCCTATCCGATATGCGTCAGGCTTTACAAGTATTCTAATCGCGTTTATATGGAGAGTGACATCGGCGCAGTCAGCCCGAGCGCCTATCATCACTGGTGCATGCGAAAAGTTTATTTTCTTTTATGTACCATGTTTCGTTCGTAGAAAATCTACGAACCCCCTGTAAAGCTCTTTCATGAATATTTATGTAGCATAGACCAAAATAGGCCAATGAGCGATGGGGAACCTGGAGATGATATTTGATTGGTTGAATCAAAATTATCGATCACCAAATAAGGCTAGTCTTATGAATCATGCATGCAAATTCGCTCGTCACACATACGATACACATATATGAATAATGATGAGTTGACCAGTGATGATAGGCGCTCGGGCTGACGCCCGCGCCGATGTCAGTCTCCATAACGCGATTAGTACACTTGCCATTTAGCCCGACGCCTACCGGATAGGCTTTTTGGTAAGGGACTAATCTTCATTACCAGGTCCTTCAGAGAGGACTTAAAGCCATCGGTCCCCTGGTCGTTTAATTCCAAGCATACACATGCTTTCTTAGCAGTCATGGAAAACAAACAAACAAACACGAAGGTTTGCTTTAATACTATACATTTACCTTATTCAGGATCAGAATAGATGGAATATGTGGGTGCGTGTAGAGTTGAAGAAGAATCTCAGGATCCATTTTCATGTTGGTCCATGTGTTAGATACATCCACCAACACTGCAACTGTAGTATACAAGATATATTTATTTCATTTTATTTTTTACTTATTGGTATATAATGATCGACCTGCAGCACAAGGCTGGAAGGGCCAATTTACAAAGGTACATTGATGTATATACATATACATGTACAATAGTATTACAAAACATAGTAAATAAATCAGTAACATATTGACAATACAACAGAATTATATTGCGTTTGTTTATGTACATTAAATGAAAGGATGTACTAGCAAGAGATATAAAAGAGCAGGGGAAGGGTACATGGCTCATGAAGGTGAGAGAGAAAGAGCGAAAGGGGTAGAGAGAGAAAGAGAGGATGAGAGCAAAGAGAAGGTACAATGAGAGAAAGAGAGAGAGAGAGAGAGAGAGAGAGTAGAAAATGGAATGAACACAAGTAAATAAACATACTAGTCCTAAGTACATGTAATACATTCATGAAAATTAGGAGAAGTCAAATTTCGGCGAGACAACAATAATCATCATACAAGTACATGCAAGAAGAGGGAAAATGGAAGGTTGAACGAAAAAAAGAAAGAGAGAAGTTTGAAGAGAGAGAAAGAGAGAGAGAGAGAGAGAGAGAGTGAGAGAGGGGGGATGGAGAGAGAAGGAGGGAGAGAGGGGGCAAGTGAATATAACAATAACTGAAATAACATATACATACACCATAGGATCAAGGCATACAGGCTGAAATAGTGACATTGATTCAATGACTCAAAATTAAAATTAATATACATGACGTGCAATTAGAATGAATCACGTTGCACAGCCTTGAGCCTCATTCAGGTGTATGGCAAACAAGTGAGACAAAAATTACCCAAATGGTCTATTTCTGAAAAGTAAGAAGCATCAAACCAAAGGAACAGCTATAGTGTGGAGCCTATCCCCCCCCCCCCCCCCCCTCCCTCCCCAAAAAGAATTCTTTACAGAGTGCAGATTTTCTGGACCCTTTATACATGTAAATCACAGTTCAAAAGCCTAGAAGGGCTGCTCTGCATTTCCTATACTCTATTTGATACCATATTTTCCAAGGAGGTTATCGTCAGAGGGGTTCATATATGGGTTGCTGTTATGCATCATTGTGTCGTTGCATAAATGAGGGTTAACACTATACGATATATATTTTGTTGACTCTCTCCTACATCTAGATCTCCCTTTCCTATTTCAAGAATATGTCAAATAAAAATCAAGTATCCAGGCATTCATTTAACTCTTACTTTATACTCGTACATCATGAAAGACTTTAAAGTTCCAAGCGGGTGACAAAGGGGCCGCCACCATCTTTTCTACAGTGCTCTAACACAGAGACAAATCTATATTTCGTGTACAGTGTATCTAGATTTCATGTATCGCCTACTGCGACTTGCAATGAACCCAGGAATGTTATGCAAATACAAGCAACTGAACGGATTGTCTATCACTCCATCAAAGGTGAAAACTTGAAAGTGAGAGTTAAAGCACTCAAACGGATAGCAGCAAATATTACAATGGCAGATTCTGCCCTTCACCCGTTTCATAGATGCAGGTGATGTTCAAGTGGAAAAAACTCTGTTCCTCAGATAGGACGTTGAATGCAGGCCCCGCTTATATGAGAGTCACTACCAATGAATGTTAAGATCCCAGTGCACCATTGGTGTAAGAGTAGGGGAAAGTCTGGTGTAGTGGTACCTCTGCACATCCCACTTGGAACATGTATACAGGTTATACACGAGAGACTTAAACTAGAAGGAGATGGGCGTCAGTTTCCATGTACAGTAGGTTATAATTCGCTGACACCAGATTTAGTGGAAATACCATTAATGGGTGTACAAATCTTGGACACACAGCAAACCTGCCATAAAGAAATTCCCCTAGTCTCACAGAGAAGCTTAGGTTGGGAGATACCTAAGATAATGACTTTCGCATTTGGGGCAATCGGTGGATATTGCAGAGCATATATAGGCAAGGCCTGTTGGTCATAAAACTGAAGAATAATCCTGGTAATTGGCAACACCCTTTATTGGGTAATAAATACCCGAATGGTGTCAAATTCCCCATGATCGAGAGCCCACTGAATTCTGTGCGTCTATAAAAGAGTCATAGTGATTTACTTCAGTTTTCCCCTCTCAGGCAAAGGTGATGCCAAACCCATGATAATAACAATAAAAAGAGAGCGAGTAACCAAGATAGTACCTACCTAGGTCGGACTCCAAGAAAGTGTTCTTAGCATCAACTAGCAGAGATCTAGGTAACTTGTGTCTACAAAAAAAGTAAGAACAATTTTTTTTTTAATGCAGATTAAGCAAAACATTTTTATTATAAAATAACATGAGCCTGGCATTTAAATTTTTCAATTATACAGTGTTGACAGAAGTCAAATGAGTTAAAAATAAATTTCTTACATTTTGTGGTCATCCCCTGTACTTGTAAAGCATACAAATTTGCATGCACTTCCACTGAAAATAACTTTGAGCAAGTTATTCCAATCAATACACTATTTTTACTTCTCAAACTTTTTTTTCTTCCGATTTTGTACACATTCATACATATCATTTTCATTGTTGTGTGTATCTGCTCTGTAATAAATATGTGTAAATTACATTATTCAAGGGAACTTTGCAACAGATGGTCAATGGAATTGGCTTTCCTCTTGCTCTCCTATTTTATTTTAAAGACCATATTTCATTTAAATTGAATGATCATTCTTTGTACATTACCATGACATGATTTACATGAAGTTATTTTATTAGGTGGTCTGTCGATGACAGATCACCTATTGATTTCGTTAGAATTTTCTTTCTTTATTTATTTCTTTATTTATTTATTTATTTTTATTTCTTCCGTACACTTTTTTGTCCACACGTTTACTCGAAATCGACATGGTCAATTTCCTTCAAATTTGTGTCAGTCATCAAGCCCTATGATTTCAAGTCTAATTAACTTTTTCAAGTTCATGGGGTCATCGTGACGTCATCCAGGCGCCATTTTGTAAAAATCAGGTCACTATCATATCTCGATAACGAGTAATCAAAAATAAACCATATTTGGTATACATTAACTTCAGGTCAAATGTCAACTAAAAATGTCAACAAATTTTGCGCGCGCACTTCGACGCGCACGTACGCGCGCATCAAAATTTTAAAATGCTCAAATTCGTTCCAAATTTGTTTTGCACACGTTTCAGGCCATTGTAAGTATTTTCAAAATTTTGCGCGAGAGCACTTATTTTTTGCGCGTAATCGCGCGTACTGACATTTTACAACATAGAAACGCCAAATTTTCTCTATCACATCAACCACATTTTTCCAAGCATTTTGATACCTTGTTCACCTTTTTCTGACCAGTGATAACGCAATGAGCGTCCGTCAAAGTTAACAGCACGCGCGGATCTGCGTTATCCCTATCCACATTACATGTGCAAAAACAAGCTTATACAAAATTCATTTTAACTCTTCAGAATGGATAGATACCCCCAATTTTTTTCATATTTAGATAGATTATGAGTCGGAGATATGATTTCATGTCTCATTTGACCCTCAATTAACTCATGACGTCATCATAATGGCCTCCGAACTCAAAATTTCAATTTGCATATTATGACGTTAGCAGATTTTTGGAAAAATGATTGTATCTCTGTAAATATTGACCAAATTTCTTTCAAATTTTGATATGTTTTAGCTGAGAATATTTTCTACAAATACAGTCACCACAATATTTCATTTTGACAATAGCATCATGGCGTATTTTTGCGATTAAAGGAGGCATGTCAATTTATCACATTTTGCGTGTATTCTCTATGGGACATGACCTTTTCTCAAAACTGGATTCTACATTCTTGTCTTTCGCGAGCAATATCTCCGTCGTTTTATCTTCGTTTACGCTGAGCTTTGAGTATGTTGTAGCTGAGACAATATGCTATCGTAAGTGTGCCCTCTATTTTTCGATCAGATGCCGGGATCATGCTCATATTTCACTTACAAAGTGGGATTTGAGTTTTCCATTTTTCGTTTACATGTAATCTCTATGGGAAATGTTTTGGTATATCGGTAACGCACTTGACTTCCGACCTCGAGGTACCTGGTTCGAGTCCGGGCGTCTCAAACAATTTTTTTCTTCACTTTTTTTCTTTTTGACCTTTCACTGTACCATCTCCTTTGAATATTAAAACACGTACAATCGCAAATAATGTAATAAACAACCATATTTCCTTTATTATTCCCCTATTATCACTTGATCCATTACTTTTCGTGTGTAATCCTTATAGGAGATGACTTTTTCTCAAATCTGGATTCTACATTCTTGTCTTTTGCGAGCAATATCGCCGTTATTTCGGCTTGATTTTTGTTGATTTTTGAGTATGTTGTAGCTGAGACTATATGCTATCTAAATGTTCTCTCATTTTTTTCAGTCTGATGTCATCATGGTCTGTTGATGATAATCATCAACATCATCATGATCATCATCATCATCATCGTCATCACAATTACTATCAAGATCATCATCATCATGATCATCATGACGATCATCATTGTTTACATGTCTATATAACTTCTCCCTTTCTCAAGATAGTAAATATTATAATCTATCATAAGACTTGAAGACAGACCACCTTATTCGTCCTTGTGACGAATTAAATTCAGAGTTTCAATAACCAAAAAAATAATAAATACTTTATTAATATGTAAAACACACCTACCTCCTGCCTTGAGTGTAGCTGATCAGGCCAGGCGTATCTAGCAGCACCTTATAAACAAAATAGAGATCAAACATGACAAAATCAATTTATGTGAGATTTACCATTGGAGGAGAATGTCAGAAGGCGTTCATCTCCTTAAAGAAGGCATTTTATCTTTATTGCTTTTATCCACCCGGGTGATGAATGGCTACCAGTTAGGGTGTGAACGTCATAGTGGTTTGATGAGTATGGCGCTGCCTGTAGAAATGGCAACTGGCTGGAATGCTTTCAAGTGCATATATGGGTGGGTGATCACTTATATGCTGAACCGTAATTTTATCCAAAGACCCGTGTACACATTTATAAAGGGTTTGATCAATTACACAATTTACCTGTAACTGTAAAAGTGTGACATTTATTACTGTGCTCCCTCGCATGGAAAATCTACTCTAAGAAACATCCAATGATCTGTTGACTCTACATTACAAATCGGTGATTTAACCATGATTTACAAACACTGAATGACAAACACTACAAGTAAAAGATAACTTATTTGACCTTTGACCTACCACTTGAGTGTTCTTGTGTGTGATGACAGCTAGGGCCTTGCTCATGGTTGTATGGACCTTCTGTGAGACAGCACATATCTGTTGATAGAGAGAAGGGGATCCTTGAAGTTACTTTGAAGTTACATCTAAAACTTTCTCATTTTTGTTCTTGTGATGATACAACTCGTGTGGTAAGTTTATTGCTATATATTTTCTTATTTTTGTCTTCTTGCATCAAGTAAAAACTGCACAAATATAATGATATTCATTCACAACGAGGCCTTCCAATCTAGCTACAAACTGCACTCAAACCTATATATAATATCCACTCCAGGGAGACAAGAAAGTAGTCTTAAAAATGGGGAAATGGGTCTTTATATACAGGTTTCTTTTTTATACATATATGGATGACGATGGGGCAGGAGGATGGGGAGGGGATAGGATCAGGTCAGTGAGCTCTAAATTTGATTTCCAATCATAAATATCTTGATAATCAGACAGGCGATCGGCTTGTAAAAATCATGGGGTTCTAAACTGACCTGAAGGTTTATACTTTATCATAGCAGCATTGCAGCATGAGCTAAATCCAGGATTTTGTTTTAGAATCTGAGACAAAGATTTCCAATCCCTTTAAAGAGGGTAAGTATGGAGAATGGTACTCACTCGTCTCCCGAGGAGGCTGTTTATGAGGGTTGACTTTCCTGAGTTTGGAGTGCCTACGATAGTAACCCTTGAGATCCTGGAGTCTTCGGGTTGGCAGGAGGGTCTGGCCAGGAGTAGAGACTGCTGCTCCGCTGGGCAAACGACAAGGTACTTTGAAATTTGTCAAACCTGACATTTATTTATGTTTAAACTAATAATGATGACAATGATAACGGCTTGTTGTTTATCACAACGCAATACCTTTCTGACTGAATATGCTACATTCAAACTTCATTGAAACTAAAACTGTAAGGAGAGAAGTGTTTAGATCACATTGACTAAATTTCAAGTGAGTTTTACAAAAAGAATTTTACAATTTCTTCACCATTTTGAAGTAAACCAAACACAACATATTTCAAAGACATAATTTTTTGTGGATGAAAACTACATAGCAAAAATTCATGATAGAATTGTTTATATTACCAGAAGTAAATTTTTTTTTTTTTGTCTTGCCTAGATCTTACTACTTTCAAGGCAATAGAAAAACGTACAACTTGGAGAATAATTATGATCCAATTTTCACCATTACAAAATCTCAACAATATATTTTATTGTGAGTAAGCCAGTTTGTAGATACAATGTATGCATTGCCAGGTAATGGTCATTTGTAAACAATTGTAAAACCCATTGGGATGATAACTGGATGTGTGGTCATCAAAGTACATTCTATGGAAAACAGGCTGAATTACTTCGATCAAGAATGCAAACAATAGGTATTCATGTGGCAGCACCATCACTTTGGCACTGATCATTCTAAAATGCACAGAGTGGGACTTCTCTATGTTTAAAAGATCTGTGGATATTCAGATTCATTTGCACCATGAGATAATTACAAACTGGCCTATGGTCATCATGACCCAAATTTCACCATTCCAAGATATTGACAATCTCTTTTTTGTCTTGCTTACCACTTTCAAGAGGCACAGGTGTGTAGAATTCAGGCTCTCTTTCCCCTTCATCCACAAGGTACGAGTTCGGTCCTTGGTCTGTGGGCTCAGTGGTTGGTTTATGGACTGTCGACCTAATGGTACTCTGCCAAATTGACCTTTGACCTGGCTGGCATATTGCTTTCAAATGAAGGATGGGATTCCGATGCAATGTCCCTATAGAGATAAAGACATGTTAAAAGTTAAACAGATAAATGATTGAAATTTCAAGACTCAAAGCTTTACTTAAGGAACTTGAAACATTTTTTTTTAGATCTCTAGATGTAGAAAATTCAGTAGAGAATTTCCTTACACTTTAACACAAAATTAAAATTTCAGCAATTTTCCTTCAAATTGGGTCACTTATGAAAGTTTGATGTCTTGATGAGTTAAAACATGCTCTCAACATGATCAATTGACAAGATTTGAGAGACAGAGCACTTACGTACTTACGTACTTTCTCTTTGATCTTGAATCAACGATATACAACATGATGTTATTCATATGTGCTGCGCCGGTACCACGCATGCATGTTGGCTATGTTGAATCGACGATATACAACATGGATGAATTGGTTTAGGACAAGGAAGCACCCCTTTTTCCAATCAAAGACATCTTCAAATCAAAATTTCAAGTGGTTGACCAGATGCCCAGGCCAGAGCAGAGGAGTCGAAAAGCATTGCAACTTGCAAGTCTAAATTTTAATTACTACTTTTTTAGATTTCCCAAAATAGGACCAAACCCGCTGGTTTAGGATCTGGAGTTATGTCTAGCTTTATGACTACTGATTCTGCACGTAAACGGCAGGGGCGCTGGTCCTAGGTTACGATCGTCTTCGTAAACGTCGACAGATGGGTCCGCAAAAATAAGGATCGTCCATATTTTCGCTGATGATTCTCATTTCGGAACCGCGCGTTGGCGATGCGAAAAACAGATTCCGCGATGATTTTCGCGATGCATTTTGACTTTGAACAGAGACTTTCACATTATGAGCAATAAATCCTTGGGAAAACGGACAACCCATAGAAGTTGACAGTGAACTCTTGTTTTTCGTATCGCCAGCGTGCCGAAGTCGACAAAAAAAGTGCGCTAAGTCAGAGTAAGAATACGATCCCAAGAACGTTCCTTATATTTTTAGGACGCATTCTGTCCGCGTATACAGGATATCCTTGTTTATGCAGACGATCCTCATTCTCGGACCAGCGCTCCTACTTAGATCTACCAGGGCATGTGAGTTAAATGGATTCCGCATCTAAGAGGGCCCTTTGAAGCAGTCCGTTGCACCGCCGAGTCTTTTTTCCCCCTATCATAATCCCGTTAATCCCCCACCCGGACCGCACAGCTCGTAAATTTCACTCCCGAAACTGAGTGACATAGGGCTCGCGAAATGCATTGTTGGAAATACACATCGGCTGCTATCGACAAAAATGGCGGCGTACAGTAGGGAAGAGTATTTGGTAGGCGACGATTTAGACTTTCTGACTGATTTTGAGGAAGATTTGATTCTTGAGCCTGGTGTATGGGAAGTTGGAGACCAATACAAGTTATGCACGTGTGAAATTCCATCAACGGAAAATCTTATTCGTTGCAGCGAACCAGAATGTACGGTTAAATGGTTTCATCGTGAATGCGTAGGCCGCTCCATGTAAATAGGCAGCATTTGAATACATGAATAGTCAATACACTCACAACATACAGTACAAATGCACATAATCATCCCGATGCGGTTGATCGGCAAGTTTGACAGTAGACTCACAATTTTAATTTTTAAATTATTCTTTCTAACATCAGAAAGTTGAACAAATTGTATTTTAATGCTCTTTAGGTGTCATCAATCGTCACTATAGTACTGCCTTTGAATGAAATCAGTTGAGTTTTGTACAGTGGTGTTTGAAATGTTGAGAATCAATAGCACAACTTTCAATACACGGCCAGGGTAGTAATGCAGCTATGTGTGTTTTCACCAACAACAACCAGCATGTACAGCCCAGCGAGCACGGCGGCTTTCGCGTCGCCGGCCCGTACTCGGGGTGAAAAGTGGTGATGAATTGACAACTTCTAACCCTCATTAAACCAAATGCGCAATTATACAACACAGTTTCATTTAGTTATTTTAAGAGATAAACTTATGGACTACCTTCCTAGCTATGTAAAAATTTCGGAAACTTTCGGAAAATGTCAATAATTAGAAGAGAACGTGATGATGATGAGAAACTTGCATTCACTCTAACTCACGATTTCCTTGGTCGATTTCGCTGGTTCAGATGGCTACGTCTTCAGAAGAGTTATCCGAGCACAGCGAAAGCATTTGATAACCAATAGCAGGTTGCCTTGTGCCATAAGTTGTCGATTTTGTATTTTTGTCTGTTATAGCTATATACATCTTCAATGAGTATGACGTCATTTTCTCGGTGACTCGCATGGCTTCAAAGCCTTTTTTTTACGACCAAGTGTTTGGAGAGCTTAGGGAAGCAGGCCGCGTTGCGTAACACTTCGTAACATTTGGATCGCCAGAGCCGGGCGGCTGTTGATGGATTTGATGGCTGAAGAGGGTTACATTACTTGTTGTTAAGCCAAGTTAATCTTGAATATCTTTCCCTCGGGAAATTCTTTCGAGACGGAATCTCCATTTAAAGTCTCACCTCCCTGGATCTACTGGTATTAAAGCTACAAGGGTTATCCACAGCCCACACCACACAGAAATGTACAAGTGGGACAATACTACAAAACAAACCTCATGAACTTGATGAAGACATCAATATTTCTAGAATATAATAATGCCAAAATTTTCAAATCGCTAATCAAAATAATTTTATCTATGTTTTCAGTATTTACCTATCATCATCTTCACGGCAAACGATAAATTACGGGAAATATCTAGATTTTTGCTCCACAACGTGAGCCCCGTGGAGGCTGCCATGTTTTTTTCAAGACATGATTTCATCGAAACTCTTCGTCGAGCTCCCTCTGCGACAATTTTACTGCTGCATGCTTTTTGGTTTAGTTCTTGGGTTTGATGATTTCCACTAGGCTTGGTGTAAGAGGGCGTCTTGCTCTCTTTTCTTCAGCTCTACGTTTCTGTGATTCAGATGCTCGAACTTCATGCCTTGTAGTTGTACGTTATCACCAATCTGTAAGGATTTCCTCCAGAACAGATCGATGCTCTAAATAGCCTAAATGATAAAGAAAGAAATATTCTTGTACCTGCCCCTCTTTCTTTCCTTTTTGGCTTACTTCCCTCGTATTTTTCTTGCTATTTGATTTGGAAGGGGCATTTGCCTTTTGCCTTAGTACAGCATTTCTCAACCTCTTTTTAGTCACGGCACCCTTATAAGAAATTATAGCTACCTAAATCCCAATTTGTTCAAAGAAGATACGGTAGAATTGTTATAAAATGGTAGAAATATATAAAACTTACTGAATTCATGTAATAAAATTATATATGCAGGAATCTTGCCGCCGAATACATGACTACAAAATGTATATATTCACTAAATCACTTGGATTCACGAAAATGAAGATATTCGGGCATCTCCTTGTCAAGTATTTTTCTGGTTTTAGTTGTTACGAGGGAGTAAAGCGAACGTTGGTGGTACCATTGTAATTTCGATATTAAAACAAATAAGATATATTCGGTCATCTTGTTGTCCGAATATGACGCTATTCTGGCACCACAGTGTACGGTCGATTAAAAGAATATTCGGGTACCTCAATGAATATGAAGGCAATCAGGCTGCTTGGAATCATATTGTTTCGAATTGTTACGAGGAAAATATTCTGCCAGTTCATATTTTTAATTTTGTATATACTTATTTTTTTGTACGTTATAGAAATTCAAGATATTTATAATCAATATTTTCCTTTTCCTCCTCCTATTTTTCTTCTTATCTTCAGTTTCGGCTTCTTTTTCTTCTTGTACTTATTATCATTTCTATCATCAGCTTAATGTTATTATTATTATCATCATTATTATCTTTAATAAGTTTTTTTTCCTTTCTTTTCTTTTCTTTTCTTATCTGTCTGTAAATATTACTATTTTAACTTATTAATGTTGTACATGTATGTCGGGGATCCTACTGGAAATAAGCTCTCGAGCTTTCGTGGGTTAGGCCTGTCCTATTCAAGCTGACATAATGTTGATCTGTTATTCTTGTATGTTTGAAGCTTGGTGAATTAAATTAAATCATCAATCAATCAGTTTCTAATATTTGTTTTCATGAAATTGATTTATTCCCGATTATTCCAAAATGTAATTTTTGATTAAAATGCAACTAAATTTCTTTGGCGGCACCCAAGGGGTCTTTTGCGGGCAACCCGGTTTTAAAAAAAAAACGCTGCCTTAGTAGATCTGACAGGCGATCTCACTCGTCTTGATTATGGTGACGATATTTGCGGATTTCATTTGTCAAAAATGATGTAGAGTTAGGCTTCATGATTTTGTTTTTCGGTTTAGGGTTAATTTTTATTTGTCCCGATTTATGTTTTTTTGAGAATGTGACATGATTAAAACTTACATCTAAAAGTATTCAACATAGACCATTATTCAAGCAATCCATCTTTCATTCTTTAGTTACGAAAACTATCAAATTTACAAGGAGTTCTTTAGCAAGACATTAATCCAATTTTGCCACTCTTCACTCAGGTTTTAACTGGGTAACTGCTGATTGCCATGATTGCATAATCTTTCCCTCGTCATCATCATGATCATAAACGAAATCCTTCTCCTCCTCCTAATACACGATCATTATTTTCATTATTATCATCATTTTCATCGTCATCATCATCTTTATCTCCATCATCATCTTCATCATCATTGTCGTCATCACTATCATCATCATCATCATCATTATTTTCATTATTATCACCATCATCATCATCATCATCATCATCATCATCATCATCATTATCATCATCATAATCATCATCATCATTATGATCACCATCGTCATGCATCATCATCACAATCATCTTCATCATTATCATTATCATCATCATTATCATCCAATCACCCACAAAATGAATGCATTATGCTCCGATTATCATAGACGTAATCCTTCTCCTCCTCCTCCTCCTAATACACGATCATTATTGTTATTATAATAAATGACAAAGTGGTATTTTGGGGGCTTGGAATTTACGAGGAATACGTTTTGTGAATGACATCCTAAAAATAGATGGTTCTTTTTGTTCATATTTTGAGTTTCAGCGGAGATTTGACATACAAACAAATTTCCTCCAGTACTATGGTCTTTGTAATGCAATTCGGTCAGGTTTTAAAATGACTACACATGTAGCTCCTAGTGAGGCCGTAGAACCTATCATTCTCGAAGCCGTGCACCTTGTGGTGAAAACAAATGTTGGTTGTTCACATATTTATCAGTCTTTGCTAAAAAAAAAAAAAGTAAAAGAATGTAAAGCCCTTACAAAGTGGAAAAGTTTTTTAGATTTTCAAGATGTACTTTGGGGTTCGTACTGTCAATTTCCATTTCAGTCAACAATAGATATCAACATGAGGTGGTTTCAAATCAAGATTTTAAATAGAATATTATATATGAAGAACAGTTTGTTAAGATTTGGTGTAGTGGCTGACAAGAAATGTACTTTTTATAGTAACAATGATGAAACTATCATACATGTTTTTTGCTTTTGTAACTATTCTAATGAAGTATGGTCGAAGTTAGAGTTCTGGATATTTCGTAATACGGGGGAAAGGATCAAACTTACAAATCAAAATAAATTGTTTGGATTTTGCGGTAGCAATAATAATGCACTCAAATGTGTTCTGATGGTTGTAAGACAAGAAATATTTTCAGCTAGATTACGAATTCAACTACCATCATTTTATATAATTTTATCAGCTCTAAAACGTTATTATGAAATGGAAAAATATATATACCAAACAAATCTCAGAGAGAATAAATTGAAAAGAAATGGTTTCACTTTAGAAAATATTTTGAGAGTGTTGGAAATGTGCTAACATAAACATGATCATGTATTTTATGTTTGGTTTTTTTTAAATTATATATTTAAAGTACTAATTTTGTCATAAATGTTTGTTTTTATCTGCCACAAAAGTTTTCGGCCGTGATGATTATTATCTGTGTCAAGCCATTATGTATGGAAATTATTTCTTTATTTATTTGTATATTATATATGGATATACTGTATATGATGGAATTTGTTTTGAATATAAAGAACCTTGTGGAAGGGGAAAAAAATTATTGTTATTATCATCTTCATTTTCATCTTCATCATCATCTTTATCTCCATCATCATCTTTATCATCATCGTCGTCATCACTATCATTATCATCATCATCATCATCATCATCATCATCATCATCATCATTATTTTCATTATCATCATCATCATCCTCGTTATCATCATCATAATCATTATCTTCATCATCATCGTCTTCATCACTATCATCATCATCATCATCATCATCATCATCATCATCATCATAATCATCATCATCATCATCATTATGATCATCATCGTCATGCATCATCATCACAATCATCTTCATCATCATCATAATCATTATCATCCAATCACCCACAAAATGAATGCATTATCCTCTGTAAATATTTCAATTTTCTCGGTTAATATATTCACAAATAACAATAACAGCAAAAAATGTAATGTCTCGTATCTGCTATCAAACCTATTATATACATACAAATTCAATATTTCTAAAGCAGATAGGCTAAAGATATTTATACAAACATATTCTGAACTCTCATAATTTTCATACTTTGAGTAGAATTCTTATGAATGATTGCACTTTCAAAGCTCATTTCGAGAAAAAAGAGAGAAAATTGAATAAAATGATATCCTTCTACCAAAATCATACGTGGAATGTATGCTTTAACTAGAAACGAAATAACGGATTATACTTAAAACCTTTGCTATAAACCAGTTTAAGTCGTACTGGTAATTGTATAAATAAATAGTTGAAAACACGTTTATGCTACGATACGGCACCATTTCTGTTGAGTTTAAACTTTTACACATCTTTCTTATATAAACTAAAGCCAAATAAAATGATCTCAATAAATCGAGCAAGAAGTCGGTAATTTACAGATTTAGTCCATCTCATAATTCTCTCTTCATATTGATTCTAAGTTTGAGTATTTTCTTCCTCGAAATAATCTCTACATACTTGAACAACAAAAAAGTACATGAACGACAGCTCAAGTGCAAAAAAAAATGAAAGCAGATAAAAACATGAACTATACATAATTATGTCAAAGCAATAATTTCATTTATATTAAATTTTCTAGGGTTACAAAGAGCATTAAGGTTTTAAAAACCTTTAATAAATTAGTTGCAACAGAATTTACATGACTATTACTTGGAAATAAATATTTACAAAACTCTTCTGCTTCTTATTAAAGAAAGCCTACGTAGACGCAAACGAACATTAATTAGACAGATATAGATTCACTTTCCCTGATCATTTAAAAGCATTTGCGATTACATCGCATATATTGAGAACAGGACAAATATATATAACGGTTATCTTGATTTTCAATATTTCTCGTAAATGGATCAGAAAATTCTAAATAACAGTTACGGATTCTATTTTGAACTCAACCGTATTTCAACCGCCTAATGTTATCATCTTAATTATGTTTTTATAATGTTATTTAACAGAAATATTCCATAAAAATCCACGCAAAACTTGAAAAAAATGATAACTGGAACAATTGAAAAAGGTAGATAGTGGTGAAATCAGTGCTTGAAATAGGTTTCTTCTAAAACAAATTAAGCCTACTATCATTTTTCGAGTAAGTAAAACTCTAATTCAATTTCTTTAAAATGTTAAAGCATGGTTAATATTTCTGCCCTTGTAGAAACTAATGAAAGAAATAAACATTTTGAACTTTTTATAGTGAATAAATAGAAAAAAACTCAAATAATATAATGTATATTTAGAAGGTGGAATATTACAATGCAGTGTTCTGAAGCTAGTCTAATAAAAAAAAAATGGGATGAGCAATTCGTTTTATGTTTGAACTCACATTTATAATTTCAAAGGAGAGTGGACTTGATAATAGTCATTATTCAAATCATCATACACGTGTTTGTATCCAAACAGGTCTCCATCGCAACAGCAAATGTAGTATTTCGAGTTCTGTTATAGGAAGTGCGTTTCATACCAGCCAGTTTAACGCCGTCTTCTAGAATTTATCATTCAATAAATTATTGGTCGTCAGCACCGGCCGGAAAATATGATATAAACTTTAGGAGAACTTTATATGAGTACAACCTCTGGACAGAAACCATATAGCTTTTCCTATGTTCTCTCATTTCAATTGAAGTTTTCGTATGAACTGAACACTCTTTGTATAATATATACTTGTATGTTTATTTGCATTTGCTGTGTTTTTTATGAAAATGAAATGAATAAACTAACGAACGAACGAATACTAATTATGATGGGAATATGTGTTTTATTTGTCGGGATTATCAGACTGATTGTCCTGTTTATCTTGTTTTCTTTTAAGTACTTGTTATAAGTCTGGCATAATTCTTTTAAATGTTTTTTTTTGTTCGTTACCAAAATATAAGACTAACTCCACGGGATACTGAGTTGTTGAGATAGATAAAGAGTGAGCAAGCAACGGGAATATGAATGGTGGCAAGGCAGACGAGAAAGACTTTAAGACTGGGAGAAGCTTAATGAACATTTATGAATGAAAATGGACAAGAGAAAAGAAATGCTATAAACTGACTGAGAGGAATGAATTACGCATATGCTGACAAAATGAAGATGGTGGAATAAGAATAATAAAATGCATTTTGACATTATCTTTTAGAAAGAAAAACACAAAATTAAGGTGGACAAAACAAAATGAATAATGCAGGTAAAAGATCACTATAAAAGTTTCTCTCAGAACGTTCCTTCCAGAATATTATAAATTTTCTTTTAAACATTTTATTTCACGAAGCATTATCAACTCAATAAACTCACAAAATATCAAACCAATGCATTAAAAAAGAAAGAACATCATTAAACATGAACTACGTAACAATAATCCCCGAAATGCTTGTTTCGTGTAGATCAGATAGACCACAATGATCCAATCTCGCTATTAGAGTTTTTGTACAAGGATAAATTTACAAAATCGTTTTTGTCGAATAGTCTGTTTGAGTTCAGTCCGTCTCTTTGACTTATGTTTTCTCAGACGGGAAACTTCATTGAGTGCGATGGGAACGGATGATTGGTCATATGCATGTTCATGTTCATACTCATGGCGTCTGTCGGGTTGCTATGACTACCGTGATGCAGGAATTGAGCGGATGCGTGAATGGATGACATGCTATTGCATGTCGGGAAGGATGACTGCTGCGCGAGGTGTCTCGCATGCGCCTGGGCTTGCTGCGCGGCGTGGAGATGGCTCCCGATTCCGCTGGAAGAGTGATGATGGTGATAACCCGTATTGCTCGTGTTGTACATGGATGTCGCCGTCGTGTGCGGCTCGAATGACTGCATGTACATGCCGCTCGAACCCTGAAGCCCCATGCCTTGTCCTGAACAGTAACTGGGACTCTGCATCCCACCCATCGTGGTCATCGATCTCGCTGAGTAGCTCGGATGAACACTGTCTTTTGCCATTTGGGCGACGGCGAGCGCGGTGGCGGGCTGCACCGAGCCGAGTCCGTTGTCATCCATGACACCGTCCTGCGTGTAACAGGGCGATAACGTATCGACCATTCCATTTCCCGTGTTATAATCAGACAACCTCGCATCGCAACCGTTCACGCCGCCATCGATCGCACCTAGTCCGCTACCGCTCAATCTCCGCTTCGGTTGACCCATAGACGATCCCGTCTTCGACATGGATCGCGATTTCGTCAGGTCGTCACTCATTGCGTCCGACTGATGTCCCAAGATATCGACGTTGAATCCAACGCCGTTGTCCGGTGAGGTACAAGTCAGTTGACTGCCAGAAGCTTCCCCGCTAGAGCTGCCCGTGGTCGAGCCGAGGTCAGAGAGAAGCCCGCAGTTATCCGACTTCTCCTTCTTGGTGACCGAATAATCTCCTTTCCCTCCATCACTGCCAGTGTTATCATTTACGTCTGTAGAGCAAAAATAAATAAAAAGGAAATTATTTACAATCTGACATTTTTCTAAAAGTCTGTGATTTAGTGTAAGGGATAATTATTGTATAGATACTCGTTTGCAAACAAATAAAGTATCAGGAGAGGTGGTCTGGCTTAATCATGAAACTTTTATACTACTCAAGTACGATCGTACTAAACGGTGCACCACTTTTGTCACTGAGAAATATGGTTTAACATCAGAAACGAATACAAAGGAATAGAAAGGAAATTTGAGGGTCCTCTCGTCTTTTGAGTGCGTCATTAAAACGCAAAATATAACCAGACTTTATAATTATTCCTTCTGCACACAAAGCGTTATTTTCGTGACGTAGGACAGCGTCATTCACTTGCACGCGTAGTCTTTGATGCACCGTACGCGTGTGACATTGCACACAAAGTTGATTGCAAAATGAACAGTGCAAGCCATTGCGTTGAAATATTGACGTAAGGACTGAATACTTTCACCAGGCTCGATTGGCGCAAGTAATAGCGCAATCTAAATGACGCCTCGTGTGCAAAGGGCATGACCATGGGCCAGTTTTTCAAAGACAAATGACAAATATTAATGACAAATCTGCTGATAACCAATCAGAAGCAAGTATTTCAGAAGCTTATAACAAAAACTGTCATTTTTCAATTTGTCACTGATAACAAGTTTTGTGAAACCCCCCCCCCCCCCCCCCCTGACTGACTACGTCATCCATTTATTACAAAAGGATAATAGTGTTCGATCTCAGTGATAAGGGGCGCTATAACTCTGAAGGTCAGTTTGTACTAAGACATGTGTGAAATGCACAAGAGGTATTAAACCAGAAAATTGCGAACCGGCAATAATTAACAAGACACAGGTATAATTATTGCCGACTAATTATAGTCCTTTCTGATCATAGGTGTACGTTATACATAAATTCAGTGATGAACTCTCTCGCATTTCCATCCTCTCTTTTCACAAACACAAGGCACATCCCTGTCCAACAATTCCAAAACCATGATCTCATTCAGAAGCTTGGTCCAGTTGAAAATTGTTATTTTACTAGAAAATTAATGTCGTTATCAGTCATGGTCGTTGCAGACTTTCTCCGGTTCAGTTAACATCATCATCATCGTCATTTCGGTCATCATCCTCGTCGTTGCCATCGTTAACATCGTCATAATTATTAATCTATCCTGTTCTTATCCTCATCATTCCACCTTCTTCCTCTTCCTTGTGGTCCATCCTTAGAATTGTTCAATTTCGAAATTGTTGCTACTCATTAAAAAAAGTGCTTGAACCTTATTGGCGTTCTATTTTCTTTTATGAAGCGATGGCAAAAATAATTTCCAAATCAGTAATCATCTCAATCCTCAGAAGCAAGATTAGGATATTTGTGTTCTCATATACTGTTAATATAATTATTGCCGTAACAATTATATTTACAATGCATATTAAAGTTAATTCTATAAAATTGCTTTATGAAATTGAGCATTAATCTTGCTAATTACCATCCAAATACACATACGTCCTTTTCACAGGTTCAGCAAACGTGGCAAAAAGAACCAACCTATTTATTATGCTAAACTATCTTTATGGTAACAAGGGTGGTGTATAAATACGATAACATACATTCTTCTCATCAAAGTGAAAAGTCTGTTCCCAAAATTATAATTTTGCAATCGTACTTCTCTTGTTTTTGTTGGTGTTAGATCGATATAGCTATGCTTGAGCTGGTAGTAAGCCCCTTTAAAACGCTCCTAAGAAAGACAGAAGACAATGTCTGCTCTTTGCAATTGCATTTTGATGGGTCGAAGAAACGGAAGAAGGGAAAGGGAGGACAAAATAATTCCCATCTGTAGATGACACACGCGTACGTCTCTATGAAACTTTGATATCTCATTTAATATTCTATGAAACTTAGATGCCGCGTGGCAAGCAAGGCATGACGGTCCGATAGATCAACGGGAGAGGGCCCCTGCCGTAGAGTTAGGGGACCGTGAAGCGAAGCGAACTGCCTTCTTTTCCCGTAAACCTTGCCGGGCCAGCTGATGCCTCACCACACTCGCAGACAGATAGACAGATACAGTGGCGTAATGTACAGGAGGGTGGGGGGGGGGGGGGGGAGGAAGTAATACAAACGGACGGATGGGCAAACGGGGGTAGTTGGGGGGGGGGGGGTCGACATGACCGTGATGCTATTCCTCAACGAATGGTACTGTTTAGGGGATATACACCAGTCCTTTACCCCATTATGCACTTGTACTCCTTTTAGGGTTCCAGGGAATTTCCCCACCCACCCTCCCCTTCACAATGCTGCTTTATTTACAACTTTATCCCATGAATGCCTCAGTGTTTGCATTGTAAGATGGGCGATGAGCCAAGAGAAAACAATTTTTGTAGGACACGGAGGAAGAGGGGGGGGGGGAGGGTGTCATGTAATAATATGTCAACCTATTAAGACAGTGTTTACAATTTAAGTGACCACCAATGCGTATGAGAAGATGTCTACATCTACGTTAGACATATCACTTTACTCCAAGCCAATTTATTTTTCAATTACATGTTTCGATACTAATTTGAATGAATTTAATTCACGAACATAATTGTCAATATTTTGATATATATTTTGAACGTCATAAACAGCTAGAAGAGGTTTTGGTGCATATTTTAGCCTGTAATTATTGTGGTATCAAAATTTTCATTTCATCATCAGATTCATATTTCCAATGAAAAATATTTGAATCTAAAAGTTATCTTGTGAAACTGATGAAAGGAGCTACACAAAATTGTAATAACAGAAACAATAAAAGAATTGTACATGTTCGTATTTGTAGTACGCTTTACAATTTTATTTTAGGATCGATATTATTACCATCGCCATGAAAACAAAAATCGCCAGAATATGAGGCCTAAACAAAAAATAGTTCTGTTTGTCAATATCGTGCAAAGTTTGTTTACAACGAAAGAGAAGAAATTAAATTTCCCATGATAAGGACTTTAACATGATAAAGTTTTTAACATATTACATCCATCTTGTATGCTACATTTTCTTGATTATAAAAATGTATGTGTGTGGGGTGATTATGTGAGGGTTTGTGGTGCGTGTGCGTGATTCTGTGTAAATACGTTGATGGAAATGAAAGCCTTCTTCCGTTATCCCAAGGAATTGAACCTTATAGATGCCTATACTGATAGAATGCATGAATTTATCTGTTTTACTTGGACATAAAACATCATTCCTTTTTTTTTGGGGGGGGGAGGAAAGGGAGAAATTGGGAACAATGAGGGCACATTAAATATTCATGACGGATTCCCTCTTGTTTTCCTTTTTTTAATTTTTACCTTGATCCTGTGCATCATTAACGCGCCGATCGCTCGATCGCTACTCGTCGAGACGACCGGAGCCATACATTCATACACGTCGCAGTTCTCCCCACAATATAATAATTATTTCAAAACCCGCTGTGCACATCCAAGTGTCATAAATATTAATGGTTATTTAATAAAGTAAATACATCTTCCAGGAAATGAGAACAGGGATGCGGAATGTCAGATTGCTTGTAGGTAGGGGGGGTAATTAAGCTACGATGAGGGTAGGCAGAAGATGATGTATTATAAAAAGATAATAAATGGCGATGGTACATGTAGTAGTAGTAGCAGTAGTAGGAGTAGAGGTGGTAGTAGTAGTAGTAGTAGTAGTAGTAGTAGTAGTAGTAGTAGTAGTAGTAGTAGTAGTAGAAAGCGTATATAGTACAATTACGAAGATGGCATGGAAAGACCACAGTAGTTTTAATCTTCTTCTCTTACTCTTTCTTCCTTTCTCTTTATCATCTTCCCTTTCTTTCTTACATATTCCTCTTTTTCTTCTTTTCTAGGTAACATTTTTTCCCTCTCATAGTCTGTCTTTCTCTATATTTTACACTTTTTTTCTTTGTGACAAGGAATATGAAATCACTTTGCCACACTCCCTGTCTGTGTTTTTTTTAATGTATTTTTTGTCTCTCTTTCTCTACCCCCCCCCCCCCCCCCCTCACCCCACTCTTTCTGTATCTCTTCACCCCTCTCTTTCTTTCTTCCTGTCTCTATTTCATGTCTCTACGTCTCGTCTTTTTCCTCTCTTTCTATTCACAAATTTTTCTCTATTTATTCACTGTCCTGTATGTTTCTGGTTATTTATTATTCCCGTCTCCCTCGTTCTCGTTTTCTCTCTCTCTCTCTCTCTCTCTCTCTCTCTCTCTCTCTCTCTCCCTCCCCCTCTCTCTCTCTCTCTCTCTCCCTCTCTCTCTCCCTCTCTCTCCCTCTCTCTCTCTCTCTCCCACGCTCACTCTCTCTCTCTCTCTCTCTCTCTCTCTCTCTCCCTCTCTCTCTCTATCCCCCTCTCTCTCTCTCTCCCACGCTCACTCTCTCCCACGCTCACTCTCTCTCTGCATGTCTTGCAGGCCGTCTCTTGTGATGATGATGATGATGATGATGAAGAACTAACAAACAAAAAAGGAGGAAGAACTTACCCTTCTTCTCCTCGTCCAGCTCATCCATCTTGGAGTTGGATCGCTTGAGAGCCAGCCGTGAGCCCCTGAGTGATCAAATGATAATCAGAAGCCAATGGATGAAAACTATATCAGCATGGTAAATGAAGACGAGTTCCGAGGCGAGACGTAACGGATTCTTGATTTATGCCCAATTCGTTCCCGCTCTACCGGCGTCGACGGAACAACCGTCCGCCCTCCAGTGATAGATTTGTAATTGGTTTTTGGTGAGTAAAAAGTTTTTTTTGAAGGAACAGAAATGGTTTGGTATGATTCCATACGATGCAAAGGGGTTGTGTTTTAGAAATGAATTGAATACTTTGTAATATGTTGTAATACTTGTTGATGATTAAATAATCAGGTAATTAGAGTATAAATGGAGTGGATCCGCAAAATCATTCAAGGGAATTTTTATAAAAAAGGAAGATGCATTTCGAACAATGCGGGGGGTGTAAATCAGGATTATATAAGTCAGAAACAAAGAATTCGATTTACTAATCCATATGCATGCATATTTGATGTTTAATAGAAAGAAAATGGGGTTAGAAAAAAAACTGATCAACCATTCCATGTCGGTAGGTCCATTCTGTGATTACAACATAACAGTGATAACTGCAGGGGGACACAATATTCATCAACGGTACCAGAATCCCCGTGACATCCATCCCGCTATACACCGTGTTATGTTGAGTGCAAGACAACAGCGTAAGAAGCCACACCTTACTAAACTCCCTCTCTCTCCCTGATGGGCGCGCTGGGACACGGTTAGAAAACGACGTGTTTCGCGATCTGTACCCCCTTACGTGGGCCTTTCCCCACTGATCACATTGCAATGGATTGTGTATTTCTGTCGATAAAACCCAAGATTTTACGCACCATCCATAGATTGCAGCTTAATTCCAAAAAGTATCGTTACAAAATACTATACAGCTTTACTTTTAAGAAATCATGGAATAGCCTTGTGCATTTTTACATCCATATTGAATTATCGCTTGAACACGTCCCTGTGTTCTGATTGGCTCACCACTATTGATCACGTGACTAGATTCTTGTTGAATGAAACGCCATTTTTAAAAATTTACAAATGGTCTGCTGATTGTCCCCTGATGTTGTCAATATTAAAAGATACGTATAGTGAACAAATTAATGCATTTCTGGCTCTCGGCAGATCAGCCAAAACCCAATAAAATAAGAACCACGGGGAATGATTCGCGAATTTCAAATCATTTTTTAATGATTATTAACGCTTTCAATGGTCTGGATTCCCATATTCTTAAACTGTCCGAACTCCTTTTACATGTACATATTGGCCTAATCATGTGAAATTCTCCTGAAAATAAATTATCGTTTTAGTTTTATATTTAATATCGGGCGCATACATAATAAATGTTCTTGTTGAGAGTCGAGTTTTCCCAATCTTGTTTGAAATAATGATCACTTTTGGTTTATTTACGTATTAATCTATTTATTCATATTTATTATTTATATATATATGTTTATTCATTTATTCATTCCTTTATTATTAGCTACTGTGCAAACAGATGGAACCAGGCGACAATGTGAACATGCCTTGCTTGGAGAGTTCCGATCTCCATATCGATAAAGCATGAAGTAGAAGTGGATTGGAGAGTCGTTTGACTCGGATTCCCACCCATCCATCACGACTTCGATTCGGAACATCGTTCGTTCAACCCGCCGTACGCGATCACCTTACCGGCTCACCATACATACGCATCCCGTCCTATCGCCATCTCGCCCACCATAGCCTTCCGCCCAACCTTGTATGTTCTGTCATGTTTAAAGCGTTTCTTTATCATGCTGCCTAATACAGTTTTATTCAAATTCGAGCAAGGTCCTAACGATTAGATTAATTTTAGCAACAGTTTAATACCATTTTAAATGCAGGGATATGCCGACATTAAACAAGAAGAAGAAAAGAAAAGCGCGTATTAACTTGGCCGGATCGACAATAAAGATGTTGCTTTTGTTTATCATGTCTGCTCAAAATATTAAATACCATATGAAATACACGGAGATGCTAAAATTGAGCGGAGAAAAAATTAAGGGGGGGGGGGTCGAAAATGCGTATTAACTTGGACTGACCATTAAAAACCATTATGTTTCTATGTAGAAAAGATGTTGCTTCTTTCATTATGTATTTTTAAAACATCTTTTCAAAAAATAATGTCTGACCAAATATTTGTTGTCTGGTCTGAGTTTATTTAGCAAGCCATTACAGCATCTAATATCATCCTGATACCCCCAAATTAAAGCTCTAAAAATAAAATCGAAGCAACAACATTTTGGCACTGGGCAGAACGTACTAGAAATAATTTTAAAATCAGCCCTTGTGGGCTGTCAAAGTTAATGATAAAACAAAATTTCAATAATAGTAACAAACAAACAAATAATAAATGGAAATAATATTCACCTTCTTGCCATTCCGTTGTCCCGGAAGCCTTTGGCGAAAGGATTATGGTCGATCTTGAGTTGGGTAATCTATTCAAAAAAATAAAAGAAACATATACTCTATATTTAGTCATGGTTTCGATTACTGCTTTAATTTTGAAATTGTGAAAGCAATTATAATGATCGTATTTCATCGATTTATCATTCATCGTTGAAATAAGCAACGAAGTCACATTTTCGAAAACATGTCTAAACCATAAAAGTCGCTAGAATGCCTCTTAAAGCAGAATAGATTGAAAAGTTCATTAAAGTTCTAAATGTTATTTTTAACAATAATATTAAGTTGTTGGTAAAGTAACAAATAGTTATACAACATGTATGGTATACCAATGTGGATTCCATTGAAGATTATGTGCACTTCTGATAATTTGAACTATATTCATACATTTTTGTTGTTGGAGGTTGCAATTAAGGTTTGAATAAAGCCCACGTGGATCTATTCATGTGATATTCAATTAATTTATGACCTATGCATGGTGATGATGTATAACTATATATAAGTTGAATAAATCAAAAATTTCAAAAATGAAAATTTAGCTAGAGTTTTATTTGTATCTGTGTCTATAGGTAGGCTGTCATCTGCACTTTAGAGCACTGTCCATCTACTCTCGAAAAAATAATATTCAAATATATATTTTCAAGTACCATCTAATTTGGACAGATAAAAATGGGAGTTGTTTGACAATCTTCTTTATCAATCAACCATACATGTCCAAAGTAGAGGCAATGTGTCGAATGGGTTAGGGGTGGGGAGCATACTAATTCTATGACATCGGGCTGACCCATCAAAACAAACAGTTTTATTGAACGTCCGGGACTAAGCACAGATGTCCCATTCTGAGTAGCAGCTTTCTTGCATGCATGGTCCATACCATGTCATCTAAAGATAAATACAATTACTGAGAGCATGGATGAGAGGATGTTCACGGGTGAGATGCTAGAATGGAAGAGGGAAAGGAATAGAGGAGAAAGAAGAGAGGAAAACGAAGAGAGGAGAAGGTAGAGAGGAGAAGGTAGAGAGGAGAAGGAAGAGGTTATTTTTAGGGTGATTAGGCGGGTAGATGAAGCGAGATGAAGAGGAACGCAAGATTAAACAACACTGGGTAAGCTGATGGGAAGGAGGGTGGGTGGGGGGGGGGGGGTTGGCAGAGAAAACTAAAGATGCAGGCACGTACCTTGTGTTGTAAACAGATATCATTTTGATTTTTCATTGATATTTTCAGAGCGTGATATAAACCGATTTACTGACATTATTTTCCGCAGCTATCATAGTGAATGAGAATATTTTCAGGCTTAATCATTATTCAATGAGTAGCCTTGGCATGATGTCAATTTGTAGCCCAATTATTTCGATTATTTTAATTTCCAATGATTGATGGGCTTTTTGTCTCGATTTTTACCATGTCCCGCTTAACGGCATTATATTATTTTTCTATTTTTGCAACTATCTTCTTTTTATTTTTTTTTTTTAACATCAAGTTTGACTTTCTTTTTATGTGAAATGTTTTTTTAAAGTTAGTGAAATTTTCTTCTTTTAATATCTGAAAGGTTTCTTTTTTTAATGCATTTTGTAAATTATGAAACGTTTGTTTTGTTGGTAAATAATAGATTAATGTTTGGGACTTAAGTTATGGTAAAGTTTTATGACCGCACACCCACACGCACACTCAGGCATAAAAAAGTAAATTGTATTTCTTTCCCCCACTAATTCTTTTGTTACATGTATTCTTGAATGACGTTATATTCAAGAAGTTATTAAAAGCTCAGACACCTTCTATGGCATTGCATGTCGCAAAATAAACATGGGGATGTTTTGTATTTTGAAGCAAGCAAATACTTGTAATTACGATTGAGTTTGGCGAAAGCAAACCCAATGAATATATCCCACTTGCATTATGTTGTCTATTGATTGGCAATTTCTGAGAATGGACTACCATGCTATATAGCCTCGACTAACGAACCGGTTAATCACGATCTTCAAATTATGTTTACTTCTTTAAAAGAAGAAAAAGTGGTCGCAATTTTCTGACATAGCTGTCTGACGCATGATGAGTTGTTCGGTCGCAAGATAATGAGGGAGATATATTATGTTGGTTTTTTTCTTCTTCCTCTTTCTTTCTTCTGAATCCTTCGGTTGATGGGGTATTTTCTTCCGACTCCGATCCCCGTGCAGAGCGCTCTTGGGAACCCGGGTTAGTCGGGTCTCAATTAACGTGTATTTAATATTCATAACTTAAGGCTAGTGCCCGATGAAGCGAAAATAACGCATCGTCGTGGAGTAGTAGCGTCGTGTGCAGCGAGCCTTGACCGGTGAACCCCTCTCTACCAAACCGCGCAGCTCGGCGGAGCTCTTTGCCTCGCTCGCTCGAGGAAGACTTGCACCACCGCGGCGATGATGATGGGAGAAAGCTCGTCGAGGCGGCTTCGCGTGACTGGGCGCATGTTCTCCAGCTCGATCGCGATGTTTCAGGGCGTAATTATTTCGATTCTGGCAGGGGACTTGACCATTCTATTTGCGCTCCTGCTTCTCCCGCGGGACCTCTGGGGCCCATGCTCCCCTAACTCGGCCTTTCTGCGGCAGAAAAGAGATGCATGGCAGACAGCATGTATTCGCTCTCAATCCAGCCAAGCTTCTTAAGTTTTAATTTCCATGCTGCGTGCACACGATTCAAACGCAGCATACTGGAAACCCCTTCGTTCACTCTCTCTCCATCTATCCCTTTCCTCATCGTAAACCCATTTAGGGGTTCCATCCATCCACCACCATATAGATTCCTGTATATATATTTTCAAAGATAACCGAAGCGTATCCTAGTATCAATTACCTCCACACAACCTCTCAGAATTCAACGCTATAACGATGTAAAAAGACTGAAATAATGAGCACTTCGGACATAATAATTTGATGTCTGCTGTTAATGCTAGGTACCTTACCTTTGTCTATGAAATAGTGATAGAAAGTACACATTGGGGTAAAATGATTTGTTGATAAAGAGACATAAAATTTGATACAAAGTTGGAAATTTTGTATAACAGACGGGGGACGATGTTTGACCACCGCTTATTTATAGAAATCATCGTAATAAATGGCCAATTTATCATAAAATCCAATTACCAAGGGTAGAAATATAAGTTGTTGACCTTCACATACACTTTGTATCAATTTAATATCAGTTCAACCTCTGTCCGATTCCATATAAGCCTACATTCATTGTGTGCTTTCTTTTCAAAACATAGATTACTAAGACATTATCAACACGTTGACTTTGTTTTAATTTCCCTTTTCTTTAGCTTTACATAACAGCTTTTGTGTTGACATTAATGTGTAATCCATTGAAAACATCCCCTTTTATTACAATTAAGTAGGTTATGAAGATTGTTTGAGCATTGTTATATTATTCAAACCAGGAGGGGAAGGGATATGTGAGCCGTCTTATCATTCGCTTTTATCAGGTATTCATCAACAATGCATGAACATTCTTGTTTGTGTGTTTTATAATGAAGGACAAAGATTAGATGATTAACTTAAAATAAACGTCCTAACGTTGTTTTCCTTCTTCTGTAATGCCCTGATATTCTTCTCCTTCTAATATGCGTATACAATCAAGAACCAAATATTAATGTTAAAGGAAGGGCATCCTTCAAATCCCTTTCATATAAATCACTATTTGATTCATGACATAACCATAACGGTATAAATCAAAAGGAAGAGAAGAGTATATGTAGCTTATACGTCCATGTTTATCATCAACATGGTAACTTTGAACAATTCATCTTCTTTATGTTATGTTCGAACCAAGCTTGCAAGGAGTAAAGTTGGTCTGCGTCGATTACTTCGTGTCGACGTGGCTGTTTAATCCTAAAAGTGGTCCAATATTTGATGAAGACTTTCGGAGAGGATTGGTAAGTTTGCTGAGCTTGAAGGACGTTCGACGTGCACTTGTTTTTTTTTCTTCATTTAGGAAGCAAGCCGCTATTAAAATGTGATTTGGTGCTGGTGGTGGTGCAAGCCGGGCAGGTCCAGCGCACGGGTTGTGTAAACTACGCGTGTCGGAACACGGAGCTACGCGCGATCACATGAAAACCAACACTCTATGTAATATGCAGGGCCCACGTCCGCCCACACCACCCCCATTGTACTCGCCTGTTTACTGATAACATTTTGCGAGGGTTTAAACATCCCACTTGGGAAGAATGCTCGGAAATGAATTTGAGAATGTATACCCATGTTCGCCTTGTATCTCTGACATTGTGTTCGTTACGTAGACGTTACATGGTACGAAAAAAGCGGCCTCGCGCCGGTGCGCGTTGCTGCCGGTTGCCGCTGGCTGTCGCACGCGCTTGCGTTTACACAACCGCGCTGGGTTCTATATGAAGGCAAACAGCGCGGGGAGGCGAGGAATTAACGGTCCATTACAGGGCTGCCATTCACTTCATCAACTTGCCCCAGTTCGATTCCACTGATGAGACTTTCATCGCAAAATTATTGCTCTCAAAATGGACGGCGTGGAAGCTTGTCTCAAAGCTGCAAAAATAGCAGCGCGCGTTTTCTGCACCTCAACGTTAACGGGACGAGGAGAGGGAAAAAAGTTCTACAGAGGAATGATCGAAGGACTTATGTAAAGAAAAGGAACAGAAGAGGAGCGAGTAAAAAAAAAGTTATCCGCGCTCGGATAGAGAGCCGGGAGGTAAAAAAAAAAAAAGACGAAATGGGATGCAGTATCGCAAGAAGGAAAGGAAGAAGATTAGAAGAGGAGAAAAAGATGAAACTTGTATTACGAAGGAGGGGGAGATGCTGGTTAATTGTTGTAAGGAGACGCATTAACGGCTTCTCGACGAATGGACAAACACGGAACGCTTGTTAACAATTAAGGAGAAGAAAGGCTTTGGCTAAGTGAACATGGTCCAAACAGAGCTAAGAAAACATGAAGACACGCAGCAGAAACAATACCCATAATGCCTCGCCCAGAGGTTAAACAAGAACAAAGAGGGTTAATAGCTATAGTAATGAGCTTCGTTTCTTGCCTTGGTTTAAGTATCTTACGATGAAGTATGCGATTGGTGCTACACAACATTCAACATGTGCAGAAATTTCTTCAACATTTTAAGAATTTGAAAATTTTCTCAGTACAGTTCCCTTTAAACATGAGAAAGGATTTGAAAAGTACATTAACTTCATTGTCTTTGATGAAAAGTAACCATGGAAACCGCATTCAAAAGCTTTCCAAATAAAAATAGAGAGCAATGACGCATGGTGACAAGACGAGTGACGTAACTATCCATACATACATAAACATTCACGTCATTTAAGCTCTTTATACAATTTCCATTTTCGTATTACAATAATGGCTACGATTTGGAAAGTTGAATTTCTACGGATTGCATTTCTTGCCCTATTCGTCATCAAAAGAGAAACGTGTATGATTTATTTTTCATTTATTTCACTCAACTTACCATTTTACTTTGTAACTTTGAGAAGTTACATTCAATCGCACTGATCCCTAAGTCAACGCATACACATATACTTTTTTAAATTGTGTATGCTAACTACTATATTGACTTCGTTGTCTTACCTTTTCGTTCTGGTAGGCTGTGACGGCGATGAAGGTGGTTTCGGGGAAGGCAAAAGTCACGAAGCTGTTCCATCGTAGACTGAACACATCGTTTGCCTGCACGATGTGAAAACGGGGTTGATACTTGTGCATCGAATTTAGAATGATCTGCGACAAAAAGGAAAACAAAATAGAAAGAGAAGAAAGAACATTGTGAGCAAAAGCATTAGGGTCATGAAATATTGTCTAATTGATCATAAAGCTAATTAAATCGTATAGTTTTATAGTAATCATAATTTGAATAATGAATAATATTAGTAGGTAAATAATCTGGGTTTGTATAGCGCTTGATATGAAATACCATTTCTTAGCGCTTCACAGATAATTCAAAGTTAGCTAGTAATCCAAAAGTAAATATCAATGAGCAATAGACTCGTAATAAAAAACTAAGCCTATCCTTACAAAAATAATTGAGTAAGTGATCTTTGCATTGCTAATGTCAGGTTTAAGATTGTGGAATGTGGTATGTATGGCTTGTAAAAGTGTTGCAGAATTAATATAAAATCATCACTAATTAAATGAAATTCGTTTGAAATAGATTAACAAACCAATTCTGAAATTGACTGCCTAAATCAATCCAAGAAATGAATCTATCATTAGGAAGGTTTATTAAAAGGTATTAGATATAAGACGGATAATGAATAGAAGATTCAAAGCATGATATTTGTTCTAACTGATGTTCATGTTTTTATACGTCATTACATTTAATAACAACAGTCCGATTCATGCTGATTTGCAGACATTGTCATTTCTATACTGTGTTTTTCAGTTTTCAGGTCACGTTTCAATATCTGTTTACATATCTCATTTCGCTCTACTGAATGAAACAGTAACTTTTCACGGCCACGGTTACATTCAGTCTATTTTCGACTCGGTCCCTTCTATTAAAGGAAAACAGAGGGTAGAAAAATCCACACACAAGAAAGAGGTAAGAAATTGTTTTTTCTTCTTTGCAGGAATCATAACAGGCGTGGGCATGCAATAATTCAAAAAGAATTGGCAAGAAAAGACGACCTTCGCACAGCAGGGCGCTGGAACTCGTCAAAGATAGATCATACCAAACGCATCAACGTTATAGACATAACAACCACACAAAAACAGTTAGCACCCGACTGTAAGAAAACAGACGACAGTAAATTATATATCACAAAATGTGAAATGTAGAGGAAAAAAAGAAGAGGGAGAGAAAGAAAATAGAATAGGATGAATAAATAGAAGAAATGGAGGAAAATTTATATAAAAAGGTGGCCAAGAGTAGAAAAAACAAAAGCGTGGCGAAGTGAACACATGGTGATGAATCGGTGGGCGGATTTTACGACTGAGCTGGCCCGAATAATGCGTCGGTTTCAACAGGTGACGATAACATCAGATTGATCAATGCATGGGACTACAGGGATCGAAATCGGAGGCGCCAACGGGACCTGGCCTGCTGTTGTTAGGCTTGTGGGAAAAAGACGCTGCTCCGCAAGATGCGGTCTACTAAAATAATCACGACGGCAACTCAACATTCCTCGCCTAACAAAAGGCGGCAAATAACGATATGCCCTTGTGTTTATATCAGTTTTTATTATGATGATGTATATACAAAGAGTGGATAATTTGGCACGCAATTATTATTGTCACTGTTGGTTTATATAGTTCTCTTTATGTTTTTGATACAGCTACTGTGCCCACTATCTTTATTTGGTATCTCTTCCGTGTTGTTTTAAGGTGGGTGTCTGTATGTGTGTGTGTGTGAGGGAGAGAGAGAGAGAGAGAGAGAGAGAGAGAGAATAATTGTGGCGTCGCCTCCACTCAAGGTTGCCTGTGGGTTCGAAAGAGCAAACGTGTCACGCAATGGCATCACTCCATCACATTACGTATTGCATTCTAAACCCAGATGTGTTAATAGCCTGACAATTTTCGCGGTCTTTGATGGTGCTGTCTTTAGCAACAGCGTCACATTTAGAGACCTAGGTGATCATATTTGTTTCCTACACTCACTCCAATTCTCCCTGTTTCGTCACCGGCACTTCACTCTGCCTGACTAAGATCACACCCGAAGCGACAAAGACATGTCAATTAAGAAAAGAGTCCTGTCAAGTTTGTTACAGTTATCCCTTTTTTAACCGACCTCACTGTATAGGTGTCAGAGTTAATGATGAATAAAACAAATTCATTTAGAAGAACTCAAAGGTCAAAGCATTACTATGTCTTAGTCTCTTTATTCGTCAAGTATTATTGATTTCCTAGAGTTATCCACTTGCGTGTGTATTAATACTTTTTTGAGAGTTCATGAGTCATTATGAATAAAGACAAAAACCGAACTTTTATTTATTATCTTTAAGACAACATCTAATACAGATTACATTTTCTAACGATCATCTACTCCGTTTGTAGTTGGATGGAAATAAATGCAAATGATTTATTGTGATCCCGACTGGGTATGTTATGACAATTCAATCCGATTCAGCTGCTTTCGGTCTTGTAATCAACATTTTACACAGCTTTTAGCTAAATCGTGTCAAAAGACCGCAACGTCTTTCAAACATCATTGATTTTTCAAAATGTCTTACTTCAGATGGGTCGCTCAGCATGGGTTTATAGATACCACGTGCTATCATAGCCTGCAATCTCTAATCAGCAGTGGCACGCTTTATCGTTAGTGAATGCTTCAGAAATCATGGCAGAAAAATGATTCCTTCTCAAGACGCATTTTAAATCATCAGCAGACCGTGAGCGGTGTAACATTCACCGCCTGTGTTTTCAGCTCTCCCATAAGACCCCCTACACCCCACACCCACATTCACTAACGCACGCATCTCACTTACATTATTTACTGCAAACTTAATCGAGTTTTGTTTGTGCTTGCGATGGCGCCTCGCGCAGAAGATGGCGGAAAAATGCTGACATCCGTTTGGGAGCGCGCGAAGGGCGATCTTTGGTTTGATAAGACGCCCCCCTGCGGTCGCCTACACCTGTAGCTTATGACTCCTGCATATACTGTCTTGTGGAAGAAGTCATGAAGCCGACTGAAGAAATTCAAAGAAAAAGCAACAGTTGTTTAGACGCCGTATTGGTAGTTCATGAATATGTTACGTTGGTTTGTTTAAAGCCCAATGTACAGATTAACAAAGTGAAAATGGTAGGAGAGCAAATACTCTTCGCTTTTTTTTTTTGGTATTCATATCCTTTTTCTCATTAATGGAACGAAAGAAATGCGAGGATCATGCAGGCTTTTTGAAGGCGATATACCAATTACGTTAAGGAATATTTCAATGAGTTACTGACTTGAAAAAGGGTATACTTGACAATTTCCTTATAATATTACATAGTCCTTCATTATCTAATCATTAGTATTAATAAAATGTAAAACCATTATGATTGCAAAATTTGTTTACTAATTAAAAACAAAATGTATCTCACCAAAATCGATAAGATTTGCATCGGTCACGTTCAAAAAGATTCAATTTTCATGATTGAGAAATTTTTGGTTTAGATGGTGACATTTATCATTATTTTTCTTTTAAGAACTGGATATTCATGTATTTATTGATATATTAAGCAGATTCGTTGAGCAGTCTACCCTAAAATTTGATAGAGACCAATGTCTTTATTAATGCAATACTTTCGTGTCGGGACGTTATCAATTGAGATAAAAGGGTTTATTCAATAAGAGACAGGAAATGAAAGAAATATCATGAACGAAATTAGAATATACAGCTTTATCGTTTGACATCAATAGTGTTTATTCCAAACTTTCTCTTATTGAGAATAGTGTCGGTAAAGATCGAGATGCAAAGAGGTCAAAAGAAGCGACCACAATGCGCGCGTCTTACGCGCTCTTTTGCTCGAAACATCAACCGGCATTGCGCTGGGACAATCCTCGTGGCTCGCCTGATTGCTCGCTGGTTTCTTCGGGCTTAAGCAAGCGAGGGCCGGTGCCTTCTAAACTCATCATGCTGGATTAAGCTCCAAACAAACGAACTCACGGACGGGCCCATTGACGACGACCCGAACGTTGTCGAAAATCGATGCCCTCCTTCCTTTATAGCTCAATAAGAGGTATATTATTCATTTTCAGTGTCTTTGTCGTGTATTATTTTCAGTGGCATTATTATCACGATTATTGCAAAATAAATGAAAGGAACATCTTCACGACGGCTTTGATATATGCCGACTGTTTGATTTATGCCACACGCCGACTCCCGATGTTACGAAACCTTGGACATTTTTTATATCATGTTTCACGTTTATAAATATGAGCGAGAAAGGACAGCTCTTTTCCTTTCCTTTTTGCTGTATCTTTCCAATTAATATATCTTACATAAATAAATCTCATTACTATTATGCTTTTGCTGCTCTTTATATCATTATCAATATTATTAATATTTAAGTTTGAATGTGGCATCTTTCTCCTTGTCTTTATCTAGTCTCTGATATTAATTTCTCTGTTCCCTTGTATAAGAGAAAGGAGTGAAGTTCATTTGAATATTGTGACAACAAAATATGGTGTATCAAAACTTTGTATGTCAACATTCTTAAAATTGAAGTCAAATGGAGAGAAAGAAAAAGCGAGAGAGAGAGAGAGAGAGAGAGAGAGAGAGAGAGAGAGAGAGATGGAGAGGCAGTGAGAAGACAAGGGGAAAGATGAATATAATAGGTAGGCGAAGTGGGAAGAGAATTGATAATAGATTGAAAGTTGCTTAAATTTGGAGAAAAAGATATGGTCAGAGAGACAATGAGACAGAGTGGATTTGATATAGAATGAAATGCAAAAGAATAATAGAGAAAAGAGAGAAAGATATTTTCAGAGATAAATGATATTGAATAGAGTTGTATGGAGAAAGACAGACGGGAAGAGACTGAGAGATTGAGACAGGGACATTGAGACAGAGAGAACAGGAAATGGACTTAGAGAGACGAGTAATTTATTAGGAGCTCATAAGTCAGTTTAGGAGCAGATCGAGAGGAAAGAGAGAGTGTGTGTGCGTGTATGTGGGTGGGTGTGAGAGGGAGAGAGAGAGAGAGGGAGAGAAAGAGAGAGTGAGAGTGTAAAAAAGACAAAGGGAGATAAAGACATACAAAAGAAGAAATAGAGAGAGAGATTGACAGAAAGACAGAAAGAT